GTGATGGGCCTAGGGAAGGATCAGCTCAGATCATGTGACCTACAAGCCATCTGTCTAAGCCACGCTCACAGAGCCACAACCTAGCATTATGAATTAGTCTCCTGCTGGGGGAGCGTATTGGCTGGACTTTAGCCAATGCCAAGGCCTTCTGGGAAAGATCAGCAGATGAGGGATCTTGGGTATGTTTAGAATATGAAGACTAGGAAGCAAGACAGATCGGATCACTGTTCCCCAGCCTGAATAACAAAGCTGCTAGGAGACAGTGAGGTGCTTTGCTGTCTCCTGCTGCTGCTCAGTGCTCAGACCTTCCAGTTAGAGTACAGTGCTGTGTTTTCGAAGGCAATGATGACTGTGTATTGGAAGCTCACTGAGGTGCATTTGCAGGAAGGAAAGGATTATGCACTAACCGCTTATTATAGAATTAGTGCCCTGGTCACAGAGCAAAGGAAGTTGGCAGAGTTGCAAAGGATTTGGGGCTCATGGGAGAACCCACGCGATGCTGAGGTAGGGGAGAGGAAGAAAAATACATAAATAGATAAACTAGCCTTACCAACAGGTCCTAGACTTCCTCTGGAGACAAGCACTGCCAATGCAGAGAACTTCTCATTTCCACTGGTCTTTAGAACTTTTAAAGTTCTTTCACACTATTTATTTCATACATCACTCGATAGTCCTGTTTTATAGTTGAGAAGTGGATTGCTTGAGACTTTAACTATTTTCACTCATTTGACTAGTAGTCTAGTAGTTCTTTTTTTTTTAAGATTTTATTTATTTACTTATTTGACAGAGAGAGAATGAGAACAAGCAGGGGGAGCAGCAGAGGGAGAGGGAGAAGCAGACTCCCTGCGGATCAGGGAGCCCGATACAGGGCTCAATCCCAGGACCCTGGGATCATGACCTGAGCCAAAGGCAGATGCTTAACCGACTAAGCCACCCAGGTGCCCCGCAAAACCAGTTCTTAAGCAGCTGGTACTTTTTACTTCAAGTTTAGGGGCTTTCTCTATTACATTAAACTCCCTTCTACCTCTGTTGTTGTAGTTAGTTCCAAGCCATTAACCCCTGTAAACTCAACTTAGTGGCTTGGTATGGATCTCTCCTCAGCCTTCCGATTCATCTTTCTCTGCTTGGAGACAGACAAGACCTATGGACCAGGTGGACAAGGGCATCCCTGACCTTGTCCATCTGTTCCATCTGTACCTTTTTCTTTCTGTGAACACTCACAGACCCTAGGCTGATTACGGCTAAGAGGATAAATAGCTCAATATTTGAGCTCAGGAACTGCTCGTTTCTTTTGCTGTTCCTTCTTTGGTTAAAGCCCTCCTGTGATTCCCATCCAAAAAGGCACTGTAACATCACAAATAAGGACATAGATTTCAGAGCCTGACTTAGGTCTGAATCCCAGCATTATGAATTATTAGCTGTCTTAATTCTCTGAACTTCTATTTCCTCATCTATAAGTGGAAATTAAAAATAACTATATTTTAGTCTTGTGAGAATGAAATAATACATTCAGTGTCCAGTATAGTGCCAAACCCTTAGCAAGTACGTATTAAAGTTATTATTGCCTCCCAAATAATAGTCCAGACATTTTAGCAAGGCTCAAGGCTCCTCACAGCGTGACCTCCTGTCCCCACCTTACACTCCAGCAAGCCTGTCCATCCTTCTAATGCAAGAGATTCCTTCAGATCCCTGTGCTGTTCTCTCCGGGGCTCATGGGGGAGGGAGGCCATTCCACTTAGAGGAGGGAGAGCTTGTCAGAACCTGATGTCCCTGCTCTGCCTGCCATGGAAAGAGTTGGTTCCTTGCAGAAATCAATGTGAGAGCATGCCCTTTGAGAAAGGGGGGACCTGGAAGCTGAGGAACGAGATTACAGTGAATGATGAGTGATTATATATGAAAGATCTGGAGGGCAACTTGACAATTGAGCTGGAAAATTCTCATCTTTTACTGATGAGACATAAGAGAAATGTGGCTTTTTTTTTTTTTTTTTTTCTGTAGAGCAGCCAGGACCTTACCAAATAACAAGTAGGAAATAAATGGGAAAATGAGTGGCCCAGTTGAGTCCCAATTAAAGGCAGACCAGTACATCCTAGCATGTGAAATTATCCTCAAATTTTAACATTAGAGTCAATTTTTAAACCTGATAAATTTCACTAGTTAGGCAATATAAAAAAAATTCTGACTATATAGAGAGTAGCAAAGACTAACAAAGTGTTATCAAGTGATTATATTTAAATGATTTGTAAAAAGCACATGAATTATTTCAAAAATAATATGCCTCCATTAAAGTGAAGAGTTTGTCCTCTTGGTTTGGTAAAACATTTCCCTTGTAATCTTGTTGACTTTGATAATGGCTTAAATAGCTCCCCTATGCATGGATTTGGGAAAGGTAGTTCAGCCTAGCATATGTGTAAGTTATGATATATTTTAATTAATATCAAAATTAATATTGGGGCAAAGTTGTCAAGACTTTTCTGGACACTGTGGCTTTGTTATCTGGTGTTCCCTTCATTTCAAATGGCAATTTTCAAATCCGTGTTGAACATATGTTAGCAAAACCGAGAAGCAACCGTGCTTTTCTGCAACCACTCAAAATCATAGCTTTTCAGTGGTTCCTCTGCTATGAGGGACTTGTTTGAAAAATGTGCAGGGCAATGACTAATCTTATTTTGCTTTGGGCCTCTGTCTTATTACTATCCTTGGCTCAACTTTGTGGGAGTCGGCATGGGACAAATGTCCCCCCACCTCTGCTGTACCTTGGCAGCCACAATCAGCTGTTGAGATCAGAGTGTGCTATTAAGGAACCCCATTTTCCAAAACAAGGGACACACAAATCATACAAGCAATGGGGTCAGATGCTCTTTGTTCCATAGCAGAATATTTTAGTAGGCTCCTGGGGCAAAATTAATTATAGAGAGCAAATTGTGTCCTTTATCGAGGTGTGTGGGAAGAGCAAGAAATTTGGGGCCTTCCTTCAGAAAATGGGCATCTGTGAGTATGAACCTCTGAGAACCCGTTCAGATGTTCCTGGACATAAAGGTCTCAGAGTTGAGGACCTGGGCTAAGCAACAGGTAAAAGCCTGGAGTGTGTCACCCTAAATCACCTGCCCATCCATTGATCCTACTCTGTTCTCTCATTTTAGGGATATGGAAGATTCTCCCTAAGCTTTTCCTCAAAATGAATGTAGCCTGGGGAAAGGAAGGTGACCTATGCAGTTGTTTTGGGGAAATTTTCAATCAAATGATTGCATTTTTCCCATGGCACGTAGCTTGCAATTATACTTTCATTTGTTTGCTTGTTTACTTGAGGTCTTTCCTCCCCACTAGACTTGGTAAGTTTCAAGAAGTGAGGGACGCCAATTGTTTTATTCACGGTGGTATATCCACACCCAGAAGAGTGCCTGGCGTATATTAAAGACTCCATCAGTGCTGTGATACGAGTGGATAAAGGTGCGTTTGGCCTACCCACCATGTGCCCAGTCTCGTGCATGAGAAGGCACTGTTGTAACTCAGGGAAAGATACTATCTTTGCCTTCTGAACACTCAGAGGGTGTCACACGAGGGATTTAAGATTTATAAAGCCTTGGGTTTAATCCCAAATCACCATTAATTCGGCAATTACTGTGAAAATGAATGTAATTTTGAATATGAGATCATTTACTGAATAAAATAATCATGAGAAGTCTTTGCTTGTGACATAGAGTGGTGTAACGTAGGTTTGTGTTACATTAAAAAGATTAAGGATGGAGAGAAAGTACCCTTTCCAGCAACCAGCAACTGGGAACCACAGCCTGAATTCTAGACAGTTCTACATGGCTGAAGGTGGATTCATCAATGGCTCCACTGTGGCTCACTCACTGAGGGATCTCATGCAAGGCACATCTTCCCAGGGATGCAGTTAAGTGGATTTCAGGGATCTTTTCCAGCTCTAGAATTTGGTTTGACAGAGCCTGGAACCAAAACCTTCTGCTGCCGAGGCTAAGCGGTACAGAGCAAGAGCTCCGACCATTGTACAGTCTTAGCTTCAAGGCCCAGCTTGCCTTGCTAATGCCAGGTACTCCTTAGCCTCTCTGAATCATGTCTGTGAAATGGGGATAGTCATAGCTATGTGTCCTAAGGTTATTGGAAGGTCCAAAGAAAGAGTTGCACTAAAAGTGCTTAGCATAGAGTCTAGCTAAGAGGAAATATGCAGAAAGTTAACTCTCGTTATTTCTAATCTCAAATATTTCATTTTTATGCTCTCACCCTTTTTATTATTGGTAAGCCTCCAAATAGAGCTGGGATGATTTTTCTCCTAGCTGCACAGTAAATAGCTCATGATGGACAGTTGGTCATTTAACTTATCAAAGGGCATCCCTTTGTGTGCCATCAGGACCTTGATACAAAATGCCTTCCCCCATATTTTGAGGTGGTTTTATGGTGTTGCTCATCCATGCTTTTAAGAGGTGTCCTACCATCCCTGTCAGAGGGGTCATGCGCCCCATTGCAGATGAAATCCTTCGGAAGCGTAGGTACGCCACTCTGACGTGAAATGCCTTTCCCAACAGAATTTCTGGCCCAGAGCAGACCTAATTCCTCTCTCCTGGTTTCTTATAAATTCACTGGAAGTAGAGTTTGTCTGAAGACTACTAAGGAAATGGGAGTAAAAGACTCTATTTAGGAAACGTCATTAGACTGGGCTCCATGAAATCAAGCACAATATGGGGAATGCCATCCGGTTAGACACAGTTTCACTGGTGCTTGCAAAGCGCCTTTGCCTTTGCAGGTTGGAGAGGTGGGTGTGGAGCAAATGGTGTGCTGGCCCTTCCTTTCACAAAGCGTGTGGACTCTACAAGTGCCAAGGCTGTAAGCGGGATCTCCTGGGCCTGTGCTTGTCCAATTCCCTGTCGCTGTACGGTTTCCTGTCCTCCCTGGAGTTTTCTGACTGTTTCCTTCTCTCCACCCCCCTTCCCCCCTTTTTTTTTTTTTTTTTAACTGCTTTCTGCTTGGATCCTCCATAGGAACGCTTTGGGGTAAATATTATTCTCACTTTTCTTTGAAGTAAAGAATCCGGGAAGTGGGTTGGAGGAGGGTGCAAGTACAGTTGGGAGGGAAGGAGCCTGCTCACTGAAAAAGGACTGGTGAGTGTATATGAGTGGTAAGTTCTCACTGACATCCAAGAGAGCAAAAATTAGGAGTCACCAAGCCTTCTTGGGAAGTGATCATTTGCATTGGTTTGGGTGTGTATTTGGCTTGGAAGTTGCCTTTTTTAGGTAGGTAGATATATGAATGTAATACAGTAAAAGAGTTTATAAAATATACAGAACCCCTGGATGCAAACGACCTTCTAATGCAGTACTCTTGGATTATCTATATTCAGAGCTCGAATGGAATAAGAGTGGCTTATAGGCCATGGCCTACAGCCATTAAGAGGGTCTTTAAATTCACATTCTGGGCAAAGCCAGCATTCCCTGAATGATACTAAATGTCTTCCTACCTTGCCTTCTGTGGAAGCATAGATCTTTTATCTCCCTGCCAGAGGGTGGGTGGTGGGTATGGCAGGAAGGACGAGGTAAAAAGCAGGCAGAAGCCCTTGTAGTTCCCATCTGATGTTCTGGATCCTGTTTCCTTGGGCTGTTGGCGTCATGATACTCTGAACCAACAGGAGGAAAGAACCAGAGCCTGAGCTCACTCTTCAGAGTCTCATTTCCTACCATCTGTGTGTGTCTTTTACAAATTGCAATTGTTTGAATTGAATGCAAAGATCTCAGGGGATAAGCAGGTTGGAGGGAGAAATGCAGGTTGATTGATTCATTTCATTCCTGAAAATAAAAAGAGAAGCATATTTTATCTATTAGGAACAAACGTTTCCAAGCGGCTGAATAGGGACACTCATGAGCTGAAGGGCAAGGATGAAGGTGGGCAGGGCCTGCAGTTTGGGCCTTCCCCAACTCTCTGGCTCTCCGCAGCCTGTGCTAGGTGTAGAATGTCTCAGATGGGAAGGGACTGCCAAAAGAGCCAGCCACGCACAGATAACTGGGGTGTGAGCCAAGGTCCTGGCAAGAAGCCCGCATGACATGCTTTCTCTGGAAGCGGCAGCCAACACAGCAGGAGTGTCATGTCCCCAGTGCCCTTCCTCACCCTGCTCTCCCCTGAACTAATGAACTCTGCAGGGGTGACAAATCTAGAGCCAAAGAAAGGACTAGGTCAAGTCCCCTGATGAGACTTGCTTTCGACTGGAGGTTCCTAGTCCATTCAACAAATATCATTTGAGAGCCTGCTGCTGAAGAAGCACCAGAGCAGGCACAGTGGGGATCCGGAGTGGACTGCCAGTCATGTTCCCTAGTCTATTGGTCTTCCATTTGCATCCTGCTAGTGTGGTAATGAGCCGCATTACTGCAGACGTTGGGGAGAGGAAGCGTTCATTACCATATGTGCGTGGATGCCTCTGGGTGCATGCCCGTGTGTTCCTCTGTGTGAGGACACATGGGTGTGCATGCATAGGAGTGTGTGCACACTGGGGAGTGAATTGAAAATTTTCCCAGAGCATGTTTTGTGGGGTTGTCCTGAAGGGAGTCTACTCTGACCCAATCTCTGGTCTCTTGCCTAAGCATCTCCCCTTTTACCCTGTTGTTAATGCAGTCGTATGAATGCCACTTTCATTTCTCCCCCTCTCCTCTGACCTCTGGGGGCCTCCCCACTGCAGAACAAACAAGGGACGAGACATCAAGACCATCAAATCTCTGAGGGTCCTCCGAGTTCTTAGGCCGCTGAAGACCATCAAGCGCTTGCCCAAGCTCAAGGTAACATTTCCCGAGGCCCCTTCTCCCATCTTGTCTTTAGCCGTGGTCAGCCTACTTTTGGAGGATCATTTCTGGGAATATTCCTTTTGCTCACACAGAGACTGGGGTTCTTTCAAATGCCTGAGTTAAAGGCCTTCATTTCAAAGAAAAATAACCGATGGGCCAAGAAATCTATAAGGCGGCTTTGGCCTCTTGAGTCCAGCCCCAGGTGGTATTTTGTATATACTCTGCCTGTGGCATGTCATCCAGAAAGAACCCTCTGTCATTAAGGTGCACTCAGAACACCAAATTGGAAGTGGCCGGAGTCCTCTATGTTGTGGGCTACATGTTAGATCATGCTGAGTAACCTGGGATGCTTTCTTCCCTCATAATCCTTGAGAAGGAAAGGATTTTCTAGCCCTGACCCTTTATATTTTTAAGGCATAGATTGGTCGTAATTTGCCCAAGAACACAGTCATTTTTGGCAGAAGGAGAGAATGGGGAAGCAAGCTAACATGAATTGAGTTTTTCCTGTTGCCAGGACCTGCACTTTCATAGCTATATTACCTTGGTTCTCCTCTTTTCTGGCCCATGCCCTCCCTGCTCCATCCTACTGGGCCTCCTTCCTGCCCTCAAGGTGTGCTTTACCATTCAAGTCCGGTTTGCTAACACGTTGAGCCCTCCTTCCCCCCCCCCACCCCCACACATAAATTGTGATTAATGGAAGCTGAAGCTTCATGGGGGAAAAGTTCTTACCCTGAATTCCTGAGCGATAGCCTGCCACCATGAGGGAGGGACCAGGACTCCCAGTTCATAGCCCAGAGGTCCGCTCACTGCTGCCCCAGGCCACATAGCCAGCCGACTGAGCCACAGCGCCGCACCTGAGCCCGGTCGCCAGGTTCCTTACAACCCTCTACCATCATAGTGCCAGGCCTTGTCCGTGCCCATAAATACTCCTTTCTGCCAGGGGGCCTGGGGCCCTAACCACTATTGTTAGCTGGAGCCCAGGCCCCAGGGGTCTCCTTTCTTCTTAGCTATGTTGGGGTCCTAAGGAGACTGCAGACAGCATGATGAGATTAGTTAACAGGCTGGAGAGTGAAACTGCACCCTTGGTTAATTCCATTTAATTAGGAAGTGCTGGCTTCTGGCTTCTCACGCTCTCTGCAGCTCCATAACCTAGGCAAGTATAGGTGGCTCTGATGAATCTGTAAGGCTGCAGGCTGCTCACCTTCCCTGCGGTGTTCAACTGATTAAACCAGCGCTATTCATCCAGCGCTGTGAAGAAGCAACTGCACAAATGTAGCAAGGGCACAAATGCAGTGCCACCATGGGGCACCACTCTCCAGTGAGCTAAACCTAAAAACCTAGAAAATAACCTAAAAATGGCTTGGAATGTGTTGAATTCCTGTGTAACCCCTCAGGATTCTGCAGAAGGACACCCATGGCCTGTAACTGGAGAGCAAGTCTCTGATTTAGCCCACCCCATCCCCCCTGCCCTATGAGAAGGCAGCTCCCCATCCCCACCCGCACCACCTGTTGAATCTTCATCCCCAATACAGCCCGCCTTTAAGCTAAAAACATTTAAGTGAAGTGTTGAACATCCTTGGAGTGAATGTAGGAATTTATTCCAAATATCATTAAATACTAAGTAATAATTTACTATACTCTCTGATCTATTTAAAACGGTAAAGAGAAAAACAATACATATTCAGTATATAAACCAAATCTAAGAATGTCACCAAATAGATGTTGGGTTAGGGACAAGCCATTTAATGGCCAGAAAGGGCTGAATGCTCTCAGAGATCCCTTTCTGCAATAAATTTCTGTGCCTCCCGCTAATTGGAGCACACCTGTTGGGAGCCCACAAAGGACTCCCTGCATTGCCTGCTGCCATTTGGTTTCTACTGCTTTGGGTTTGCTTTCAGATTCAGAGCACATGTGCCCTTCCAGGTGGTAGATTCTTGCAGTCATGACCGGCTTGGAAGCCACCTCTGAATCCCATAGGTGTCACTTCTTACTAAGGGGATGTCTCCCGGGGCACCTTCTATGGGGGGCTGGCTGGTGGTGATGTGGCCCTCACTCAGCTCTAGGCAAAGGCACAGGCCATTCCGGGGACCCATAGGGCTTTTGACTTCTCTTTGCAGGCTGTCTTCGACTGTGTGGTGACTTCCTTGAAGAACGTATTCAACATCCTCATTGTCTACAAGCTCTTCATGTTCATCTTTGCTGTTATTGCCGTCCAGCTCTTCAAGGGAAAATTCTTTTATTGCACAGACAGTTCCAAAGACACAGAGAAAGAGTGCATGTAAGTGCGACCAGCACGCGCTGTTCACCTTCCCTGATGCGTATTCTGGTGAAGCCCGCTCAGCCCTCCACACATAGCTCTTCTCTTTCTCTCTTACCTCTCTCACATTTCTTCTTTTAGGAAAAAGGCAAGATAGGAAATTGTTAAACTTTTATTGAGCACCTCTTTTGTGCCAGACATGGTACATGGCATTTTACACCCAGTTTTTCACTTTAAGTCTTTGCAGTGACCTTTTGAGATAGGTTTCATTTACATATTCTAGATTGGAAGCTGAGGCTCAGAAAGTTTAAATTGCTCAGGGTTACACACGGTGACTAGTAAAAAGATTAGAATGTCTACTAGGCACCAAATACAACTTTTATCCCACAATCATAGACTGCCTTTGATAAGGCTCTGCTTTCTTCCTCACATTTGTATGCTGATTATTACTCAGCCACATTATTGAAGTTTGTAGAATTTCCTTCCTCTCCCACGAGCTATAGTGAAGAGGCCCTATTTCATCTGTACTCTGGTTTTAGAGGCAACTATGTAGATCATGAAAAAAACAAGATGGAGGTGAAAGGCCGGGAATGGAAGCGCCACGAATTCCACTACGACAACATTATCTGGGCCCTGCTGACCCTCTTCACCGTCTCCACAGGGGAAGGATGGCCTCAGTGAGTGATGGGTTTGACTTGGCATGCTTGTCTGTGAGCTGGGATAGGACCACGTGGTTGCCTTGAGAAGCTTATTCAAGATGAACGAGGCTGACCCTTTGTTATTCTCCCAGGGAAAATAAGTGGTTATGAGTGGGTGAGACAGGCAGAAGAGAGGAGGAATGAAATAAGGCAAAAATCAAGAGGGAGATAACAAAGTCAGAAATATTTGCAACTCTTATTGTTTCAGTCTCTGGGGATGGTTTTAGACATATTTATCCTCCAAGTCGGCCCTTCACCTGAGGATTGAGGTTAAGAATGAGCTGGAAGAGGGGCATCTTGGTGGTTTGTTGGTTAAGCATCTGACTCTTAATCTCAGCTCAGTTCTTGATGTCAGGGTCAGGAGTTCAAGCCCCACGTTGGGCTCCATGGTAGGTATGGAGCCTACTTAAAAAAAAAGAGAGAGAGAAAAAGAATGAGCTGGAAGAACTCAGAGACCCTTTCTGTGATCATACCTGTCATGAAGAAGACAACAGAATGCAGTTTCTTTTTTCTTTTCTTTTCTTTTTTTTTTTTAGAGAGAGTGTGAGTGGGGTGGGAGAGGGGCAGAGGCAGAGGGAGACGGGGAGAGAGAATCTTAAGCAGGCTCCACACCCAGCACAGAGGCCAATGAGGGGCTCGATCTTATAACCCAGAGATCATGACCTGAGCCGAAATGAAGAATCTGGTGCTTAACCGACTGAGCCACCCAGGTGCCCCTAGAATGCAGTTTCTTAGGCTGCCGATGGCTGATTTTTCAGAGACTTGGCAATTACTAAGACCCCACTTTCTGGTGGTGGCATACTCTAGTTGGTAAAATGCCATATAGACATCCAGCATCTCTTGGTATTGAATATGACAACCTAAGATATAAAATAATGTCACTCTTTCTTAGCAGTTGGATGCATGATGGGACAGGGCCTAGAAAGGGCAGTGGACTGGGGATCACTGGATCTTCACCAGCTTGGTTATGGACCCTAAAAATTATGGTGGATCTTCAAAGTCAGGGAAGCCACATAAGAAGATATAATAGGTGGCACATCTCCTAATGAAGCCTTAAGTCAGGGCCACTGCCAAGATTGCTGTCCACCATCCATGCCCCCTCATTCTGTCCCTACAGAGTCTTACAGCATTCTGTTGATGTGACAGAGGAAGACCGAGGACCAAGCCGCAGCAACCGCATGGAGATGTCCATCTTTTATGTGGTCTACTTTGTGGTCTTCCCTTTCTTCTTTGTCAATATCTTTGTGGCTCTTATCATCATCACCTTCCAGGAGCAAGGGGACAAGATGATGGAGGAGTGCAGCCTGGAGAAGAACGAGGTAAAAACAAGTGGTCTAGAGCATGAGAGTGCAGGGGTTCCAGAAAGGACGCTTGGAACCGCAGTGGTAGGAAGGAAGACTGAATTGTCTTAACTTTATTAAAAATGACAGGAGATGGGAAAAATTAATTATTCAGGCATTAAATATTTTTTGAACATATGCTCTTTTAAGACCTAGGCATGAGGCACAGAGAACTGGAAGGTTTATGATGTAGTCTCACCTTTAAGCAGTGAATAGTCTAGAAGTGGCAGTAAAAGTTATGTACCAGAATTACATCATGAAGATAATTTGCTTACCTGGCTGTGTCCCTCCGTGGTATGTATTTGCTGTAAGGATAAGGGATATGGCTTGCTTATTGCGGCTTTTCTAGTAACAAGCATAGTTCTGGCACATTGTAGGGTTCATTATTTTTGTAATGGAATGGAACAGAAACTGTTTGAGACTATGAGAGAAATGAAAATACAGTGGTATGGGAACGCACAGGGAGATAGATTTTTACATCTGACCGAGGGCATCGGGTAAGGCTTCCTGCCTGCTCATGTTGGCTGCAGCCTGTGTAAAGGACATTACTAATCACCATGCAGTCCACATCCCATGTGTTAGCGCAGATCTGTGTACTCATTTAAAGGGACCATGCACCTATAGTTTTGTCCCCATAATCCCTGCTGCCCTTTTTACCTTTTGCTTGTCCAGCCTGACCCTGTGTTTTCCTGCACTGTCCTGTTCTTCTAGCCACCTAACAGAGAGCCCACCAATGGGCGAGGTTGAGGGAACTTGAGCTTGGGCTAATAGCTGTAACTTTCCTTTCAGAGGGCGTGCATCGACTTCGCCATAAGCGCCAAACCTCTCACCCGCTACATGCCGCAGAACAGACACACCTTCCAGTACCGCGTCTGGCACTTCGTGGTGTCCCCGTCCTTCGAGTACACCATCATGGCCATGATCGCCTTGAACACTGTCGTGCTGATGATGAAGGTGAGGGGTTGGTGGCTGGGAGGCACTCAGCAGATGGGGCCTTTGGGGCCCGGTCCCTCCCAGGGCTTGAGACACTGGGCAGATGCTTGCCTCCTCCCCTTCTTCTCCCCCTGCGGAATCTCTTTTTGATCTTGTCCCATTCAGCAGCCCAGCCTCTGGGCCTTCTGGGCAAAATGCAGTGAGACCTATAGTAGCAGGCCAGTAGTGCCCAGGGCCCCGGGTGCTGGTGGCCATCAGATTCAGACGAGAATGGGAATGTCAGGAGATCTACATGATCGTGGGGTTCTAAAGGAGTGTTAGAAGAGGTGTGATCTTATTTAATAATAAATGGTAAGAAAATGTTTCTGTCCCTCTCACCTTCCTCTTTAGGAAGACTGGCTGTTTTTGCTAATAAGTAGCCGCCATAGGGCATGGTCTGTGGTTTCCTCTGTGTTGTCTTGTTCTGCTACGTGGGATGCGTGGTCCTCCTTGCTGGCATGTCCGTTGCGCCTCCTACACCACATGCCAGAGTGTTGCCCAAGGGCAGGGATGAGAGATGGCCAGCCTCGATGACATGGAATATCCCCCCTCACCTTAAGGGTTTGATTCTTTTTCTCCTCTTTTCTCTTCTTGGCAGTACTACTCTGCTCCCTGCACCTACGAACTGGCCCTGAAGTACCTGAATATTGCCTTCACGATGGTGTTCTCCCTGGAATGTGTCCTAAAGATCATCGCGTTCGGCTTCTTGGTATGGCTTGCCATGTACCCCAGCATTGCGCTTGTCTTCCCTGCCTGCTGGAGGCCTTCCCAGCCTTTGCTAGAAGGGGAGTGGCTCCCACTCTTCCAGAAATGGTTCACACACCTGACCTAATTGTGGGCCTGTTTCAACTGCTAAGTAAACTGCCCGAGAAATAAGAGGATACATGAGGGTATTAGGAGAAAGGGCAAAGGAAACCAGATCCCCAGCTCCATACTCATCAAGCCATCAGCTCTGGTCCTGTCAGGTTCTTTCAGTGGTCAAGGGGTGACAGAATTCTTAATAGAACTGCAATTTATTTGTCGATAGGGAGCAAAACAAAGATTGGACTAATAAGCCTTGAATGTTTATTTACTGGTAAAAGGTATAAGATTTTATAATTCAAGTGGGAAAATGTCTGTCCCTCTTACCCTCAAACATAGCAGATACTAGATTTTACCTAATTGTCCTCCTCCCATTAGTTACATGAAGCACAATTTCTGCTAACAAAAATAAATGTTTATTACTTAAGCTTACAAAGGCTTGTGACCATTAAAGGGTGAGAGAGAGAGAGAGAGAAAGGGAGAGAAAGGTAAATTGGTACGTAGGTATGCTGGAATTAGGTTTGAGGAGGGTTGGGCTGAGTTTTTCTTGTATGAGTCTTTTACTTCTCTTCAACTATTAATTACAATTGCTTGGCACATTCATGCATCTCCTCTCAATGGTGTTAAGCAAACCTAGCCCTTGGCTTCAGTGTCCTATAAACAAAATAGTTCTCTCTGCTACCACCCTCCTTGTCTCAGCGTTTACAGTGAGATCAGTGGAATGCAGATAACCCCACTTGACGGCTGTTTCACCCTTACTTAGTGTGTGAGCTACCATTTCAAGTTATGTGTGTATGTGGCTTTCCCTGCACGAAAAGAAACTTCGCTGATTATCCGAATAGGGGTTTGTCTGGTAGCAGCTTTAGCAGGGACTCTGGGCTGGGCTTGATAATTGTGAGTGTTGATTGCGGGGGTTGCTTTTGGTCTCCTAATGGTTCTTTGAAAAGTCATTAACTTGATGGTTTGGGGAGGGGACTTGAAGAGAGCCCATTGCAGGTGGCTGCATTGTTGCTCACTTGACTCCAGTTGAGTATTTTGAGACTTGGGGAAATAAAAAAGTAAAAAGAAACTACCACCAACAAAGATGCCTTTATAATACAGTCTAGCCCTGAGCAGGGTGAGCAGAGTGAGGGACAAGCTGGTGCTGCAAGAGGGAAAGTTTTTCTATGCATCTTGATTACTTGCATATGCTATTGACATTGTCTGTGACTTAAGGCCCCAACTGTGCGCTAATTACAGTGAACGCTGAATACATACTTATAAGCTTAATTAGACTCAGCTCCAAAGCCTGCCTCCTTCCCACCCTCACTTCCATATTTTCATTCAAGGTCTAGAGGCATTTTCACACAATAAAAGACATCACTACTCCCAAATAAGTCTTTATATTGATAGAGTACTCTAGGTTTTCAGAATATCCTAACATATACTATTTTGTTAGATCTTCTCAATGATTCTGAAATACACAGGCAGATGCCATCATTATCATTGTTGATGTTGTTGATTTAAATGAGGAACTTGAAGTTCAGAAAAATTGTATAGCTTTTTAAAGATGACAGAATAAAAGGCAGTAGAAATGGAAAGTGGGATGGGAATAAAAAAGGAAGAAGGAAAAAGGGGGAGAGAATGAACATTGGTTGTCATATTCAGTACCAAACTCTTTATATGTTACTCATTTTAGCTTCATAACAACTTCATAATGCCTACTAGATAGGCGTTATCAGTTTCTTTTATGGATGGGCTAGGGCTCAAGAAGATTCAATACTTTGCCCAAGGTTACTAAAAGGCAGAGCCAGCATTCAGATCCTGATCTAATCTGACTTGAAACCCACAGTCTGTCCACGGTAATCTACTAGTCTACACTACACTGTGCTATTCTAAACCATATTGTATCATAAAATCCCTTCAGCTGGAATCCAGAGCTCCCGTCCTCTGAGACCTAGATTCATGTTCTCTCTACTATATGGGGGCCTATCCAAGAATTAAGAAGCTTAGCCCAGGTTGGAAATAGGAGAGCCCTGAGAACTGAGGAACTCAGAGACTCGACTTGGTTCCACTCCTGAGGAAGTAGGTATTCTTCATGGAAACGTGAATTTGTGAGGCTGTGTGCCCTGTTTCTCTGCATGCCTAGCAGGTGCTGGTGGCTTTGGAATCAGACAAGCCTCTCTAAGCCTTAGCTTTGTCATTCAAAATGAGGATCACTATAGTTGCCTTATAGCCTTAGATACTTTGTTGTGTGTACCCAGCTAAGCAGTGTACCCAAGGCATCAAGGCTCTAGTCCTGAGTAGGTGCTCCTTAAAGATCACTTAGTGGGGCGCCTGGGTGGCTCAGCTGGTTAAGCGTCTGACTCTTGATTTCGGCTCAGGTCATGATCTCAGGGTCATGGGATCAAGCCCCGTGTGGTGCTCCATGCTCAGCAGTGAGTCTGCTTGAGATTCTCTCTCTCCATCTCCCTCTGCCCCTACCCGCCCCCCGCCCCGTACTCATGTTCTAAGAAAGAAAGAAAAGAAAAGAAAGCTTTGCTCTCACCATACTCCTTTCCTCTCACTATTTGTGTGTCTCTGCCCGCTCTTCTTGCCAACCCTGCTACTGAGTATTTTATGAACATAGGGTATTGAGGGTATTGATCATGACCTACCCATAGGATTCATGGGAGAAACGAATGGAAAGAACTCAAGGGCCTAGTCATTATCTGGCACATACTGTAAAAGTCACTAATGCTCATTGTGAGGGTGGGGGGGTTGACTTCAGCAGTGCTCTGAGAGTCTCTTATGGGAGCTGCTGCCCAAGGACAAGCCAGTGACTTTGGAAACCCAAGTGTCCTGTTTCTTTTAAGGAATATAGTCCAAGGTCTGTGTTCACCTGAGCACTGGAGATGGGAGCAGAACCCACCTACTCTCTCTGTTAAGCAGGCTGTTACATGGTTGATGCATTTGCCAGGTCCTTTATTTCTCCTCCATCTCCTTCAACCCACTCATTTTATTACTCAAGAGGTATAACAGAGCTAAGAAAGAGGGGAAGGATGAAGTCTATTCGTCCTATCGCCCTGTGGAGTTAGGAGAAGATTTTTGGTACATCTTTTGGCCCTTAATGACTTAAGACATCACTGTGAATTTTATTTTGGCCTTTAAAGACTTAAGACATCACTGTGAATAGTTGAAAGTCAGAACTATATATTTATAGGGTCACATGATATAGACAATTTAAAAAGTTGTAGAAAACCTGAGAGTAATATGGTAAATAATTTTATTGCCTTGTAGGTGACAATGATGATCTTTCCTTTTTTGGACTTTATAATATTCTTGGCCACAGATCTCTTTCTTACATATTTTTTTATGTAGCTTTTTAGTGACAGCTACAAAAACAAGGTCTTCAAGTAGTGAGAAGACTGCTTTCCCAAATGAGAAATTCCCAAGTCGGTAAAGAAATACCATTTCCTGTTAGAAATGGGAAAATGAAAGCCAAAGTTAGAATTGCTCTTGTAAGTGAATTGACGAGTTTTAATTCCAAGTGACAAACTTATGTAATTAAAGATATCTTTTCTCCATTTCTCTTTCTTTTCCTCCTTTTTCTGGTGCTCCTGTGACTGAATTCACATGGCAGAACTATTTTCGAGACACCTGGAATATCTTTGACTTCATCACGGTGATTGGCAGTATCACAGAAATCATTCTGACAGACAGCAAGGTGAGTGGCTTGTACATCCTTGTCTTTAAGCTTGGCCCTGAAGTAGCATAAAAAAAATCCTTTGTGCATGCAGTCCGTTTTTTTTTAAAAGATTATTTATTTATTTGAGAGAGAGTGAGTGAGCACGAGCAGGGGGCGGGCCAGAGGGAGAGGGAGAAGCAGGCTTCCTGCTGAACAGGGAGCCCGACACGGGGCTCGATCCCAGGACCCTGAGATCATGACCTGAGCTGAAGGCCGATACTCAACTGGCTGAGCCACCCAGGCGCCTCCCCCATACAGTCCGTTTTTAGCTCATCAAACCAAATGTGTAGCCCTCTAAGTGCTGGGAGCTCATTTCCTCACTCCTGAGCTGCAAACACTGGAGTGGCACTGGGTCTCGTGGAAGGTTTTGTTCATTTGCATGACTCAACAGCAGCCTCCGAATGGGGTCAGTGCAATAGGCAGTACCGGAAGAAGCCTTGTGTGCACAGTGTTCTGCTAGATTCTTTGGGAGAGACAGAAGAAGCACAGTATCATTGTCCTCAAAGTTGTTAGACCTGAATCGTTTCCCTAAAATTGTTTATCCTAAAGAAGACTTGGAGAGCTCATTGTAATTCTCGTCGAATGTGGGCATGACCATCATATGTGCTAGAGGGATTATTTGGTCACCTCGTTGGCTTCTGAGTGCAGTTAGGACCACGAGGGCCCCTTGGAAGACTAGAGAGCCTGGTTTTGTCTGACACATGCTGGGCACTCTTTGGGGGTACTACCCATACCCTTCTACCTGGGAATAGAGGGCGGGCCTGGGAAGGCTTGGAGAGATGGTCCTCACTGGCCCAACAGTTGGAGATGGGTTGAAAACACAAGACAGAATCTGTGTCCAATTTTATGATCTGAATGAGGGATAAATATGCAAATACTAGTGTGTAGTGTTTTCTAAATGACTGTAATGTCACTATGAGCTTCCTTTTGGTTCACCAGCTGGTGAACACCAGTGGCTTCAACATGAGCTTTCTGAAGCTCTTCCGAGCTGCCCGCCTCATCAAGCTTCTACGGCAGGGCTACACCATCCGTATTTTACTTTGGACCTTTGTGCAGTCCTTTAAGGTAAGCGGCATCAGCTCCTCCTCTCTGTCTTATCAGATGGAATGACTGTTTGTCAGATGCATCCAGTAAATACAGCAGTTCTCAGTTACAGTGCAACTTAGCTAGGCCACAGTCAGCTCGTGCCTAACTGGATAGAATGTCATTCTAGAAAAACACCTCCACTTTGTAACTCCCTTAACTTCTCTGTTGACTGAGGCCAGGGCTTGTCTGAGAAGATAGTCCGAAAAGCCCCAGGCAATCCCATCCGTGTCTGGAGCCAGCTTCTGCATTTTCAGGGACTTGCCAACAGCTTAATTTCACATGACCAGTTTTTCAAAGGATTCCTTGAGTTGTGTTTGATTGCAGGATGATTCATACGGTCCCATTCTTGTCTTTGTTAGTGTGTTTCCTCAGCCACTGAATGTATGGCATGTTCATGGTCACCTCTGTGTCCTACAGTCTAATAGGATGTTTGGGCCAGGCTGATGTAGTGAGCTGCTTTGAATGGTCTCATGGGGCCATACAGAGGTGTATGTATGAGAAATAGAAGTTTAAAAGTGACCTGAAATCCACCCTAATCACAGAGACTTCCTGCAAAAAGAAGTTTTACAAACAGATTTCAATGTCTTCAGGCTGTAGCAGATATCATAGTTTGTTTTTGAAGTTTGGGGGGGCGGGTTCTAAATGCTGTTCAAATGCCTACTATTTTTCCTCTTATTAAAAAAAGCTTTTCAATGAATGTGTTTTGAAAATAAATTTGATGACATTGATTCAAAGCTGAGAAATCATGAATTTACCAATTGTCTCCTTTATTTAATTTAATTATTTATGTATTTTAATTGAACTAGAGAAGGTCAGCCAGTGAATTCAATGGTTTCTCATCATTTGGAAAAGTGTTCACCCCACACCATCATTACTGACTTATTCTCCGTTGAGGTCCTGAGGGTTTGATATGTGAGACCAGTCATAGGGATGTTCAGGCTCCTACAAGCAACTTTGACATTTTTATCATATCCAGAGTAATTGTTTGGTGTCATGACTCGCACAGAGGCCTCACCTCAATGAAAAGAATTTTGCCAAAGCTACATGACAGAGGAGAAATCTAAAACCTTAGTAAGAATTTACCGAGTCTCAGGTGAATTTGGATTTAGAATCTGATACACAAAATACTCCTAAAACCTTTTTGCTAGAGACCTTCCAAACAAGTTACAGTTAGTCTCTCAAGAAATACGTGTCAGCCTGTCACGTTATCATGCTCACCAGCTCTCTGTAAAAATGCATACTGTTGAGGGCAATGAAAAGCATGTCAAAATTTGATGGCCAAGTGGTTGGCTTATTGCAGTGAATATAGAACAGCGAAGACAAGGTGAATCTGCCTCCAGGTGACACCATGATGGATAGGTGTTTCCCTTTTGGAACAGCCCCAGTACACAGTATAGAAATTATTTTCTTAAAGTTGGCTTCACAAAGGTTGCCTCTGCAGATACACAGCAGGGAGCCACACAGTATAAACTGCACCCCCGTGGCCTACCCAAGCCACCCCCTGCACCCCACCAGCCATGAGCATAGCCCCCAGTTCTCCATCACTGACGCCTACTTCATTCTTCCCTGTTTTTCTTTGTTTTGAGTTAGAATTTATAGCATGATAAGAAAGGCGATCAGAATGTATCTTTGATCTTTTTCCAAAAGATCCCTACCCTGGGGGTAGGGAGAGATGAGCTAGGGACTGAAGACACTGGAGTGTAGAAGGTGGAATGAGGGCAGGAAGTAAGCAGAAGGTGGGAGAAGGTAGCAGCACCTCGAGCGATAAGAAACCTATCTCCCTTCCTTCTTCTGTCAGCAGACGGAGTCTTCGCATGGCCCCTTGAAATGCAGCCATTTTTCTTCACAGACCTTGGGAGTCAGCACTTTATCAGTGAGGGGATTCTCCTGGCAACTTTCAGTTGCATTTTAATTTTATCCTTTTTTCAAGTTGTAAAAGTCTCCCAAGGCTCTTCATTTAGTTGGCTCTGTTGATAAGCCCTACCCTTGCAGTCTGAAAGCCTTCAACTGATCTCCTGGGATTCGTGCTGCACACAGTCAAGATAGAGTGGAGACTCATAGTTGCATTGTCTTCTATGGAACTTACTGGGTGGTAAAGGAGGGAGGGAGGTTTCCGTGTCAGCACTGAGATCACTCCAGAATTATGGAGCCCACCCTGGCCCTAAAACCAAATTGCCCTGTATCCTCCTCCAGCCAGAGGTCAGTTCCCTACCTTACATTTCCTTCACTTGCCCCATTGCCCCCCTTATTGAAATGTTATCATCCCAGAATGGCAGTTAGCTTGCCCGATATAAAATTTTGTGCCGCATGGCTTCATGGCAGTGTTTTTCAGTGGCTTACACTTGAAAGGCTTTTTGGAGTTCTGCATGACACATAATGAAGTGTCAGGAGGCTTAAACACTGGAAAGTGATGTTACCTCAGAAGATGAAGGTGCCTTCTACGAAATGGTGACCAACTGAGACTCAGCCCCTTCACTTTGCTCCCAGATTCTCCATCAGGGGCTTGGCATTGAGTGAGGGAGTGGGAAGGGGTAATACAGGAATTTGGGAGCCAAAGCTAGGTGCTTACTATGTAATTTGCATCACAATTGTCCGCATTATTAATATTCTGCAATGCAAAGTGGGATGCATCCCAAGCCCAGGAAGTTTCCCCAGCTCTCCTTGGAGATCTGGGCCACACTTCTGGGTGAGTGAATATTCTTGACAGAAGGTAAATGACAAGCCTCTCCATGAACAGCAGCTTACCTGTCTGTCAGAGGACATGAACATCTGCAAAATCATGGCACTCTAGAACAGCACAGCCCCAGGGAATAGATTCCCAGCGCCCCCATTTAAATCAGCCTCAGGACAAGAGTTCCAGTATTGCTGGTGACTGTGGGGTGTGGAGCCTGGGAGCTGTCTGCCTCTGAATTCATGGTCCTGTCTCTGCTTTCCTTCCAGGCCCTCCCCTATGTCTGCCTTTTGATTGCCATGCTTTTCTTCATCTATGCCATCATTGGGATGCAGGTGAGCTCATGTATCAGGGGCCTGGTGGGGGACAGTTGTTGCCCAGATTGTCACTGGCTTACCAGCCCGAGCACACAAGACCGAGGGTGAGGCCCATGATGATCCAGTTCTCAGGATCTCCCATATTTGAGCTAGACCTAAAAGAAAGTCTGATGGTTGTTCTCTTGTATACAGCAACACAAAATGTGTCTAAGTCTTGAATGGCTGAGACTTATGCCCTAAGACCTACAACTGGGAACAACTCCCAGGGTTCCTAGTAGCCTGCCTAATCCTAAGGGTACCCAAGGGCCATGGTCCTGCTGATGCCTCTCAAAGGGTCAGGCAGCTCCTGGACAGTTGTCTTGGGTTACCACATCCTTGCCAGTTTCGGAGTTGAGAAGTGGATCAGGTTCTCACCCTGGATATTTATGCGGGTAGCCAGAGGCCCACTGAGCAGAAGAGGCCATAAGATCTTTCTAATGCGACTTCATCTGTGACAGATGGACTCCTGTAAACAGTCAGCAGCTCATCCCATGAACCTATCCAGTTGGATACACTGGATTGTCTGCCTGTCTCAGGGAGGCAAACTTTCTGACTTGGAGATGTGGAGACTAAACCCCAGCATGGAAATTTAGCCAAATGGCAGTCTCCTGCACTTAGCCAGTCTGGCCGCCGTCGGACTGCCAGCCATCTTGTCAATAGTACCTGCCATCTGGGGCCACTGCGCACATCTCCCAGGCTTGCTGTGTCAGCAGCCTTTTTCCAGAGCGTCTCTGAAATGTCTCTTCTTTTTGCTCCTCTCTCACGCAAGCACTTCTTAATTTGATTCATTTTCTAACCACATTCCTGGAGAGATTTTGTTCTCCAAAAAGACAGCCGAATGTCAAATGTGAAAAAGTGTGAGATTTGGTTGAGAAGTAGTGAGTTCTCCTTCAATGAGGATATTTCAGTAGAGATGTCATGATGGTGTCAGGGCTGTGTTGTAAGCGGAATCCCTACTGAAATTGCTGATCAGCGTGATGATGTCTATTAAGGTCCTTCTGACTCTCAAATATTTGATTCTAAAATTTAAATGTTCTTGAATAGCCAAATAGAAACTTAATCAATTTTTGCCCATGCTTAAAATAGCTCTTACCTCCTTTTCGTCATCAATCAAAATAAACCAGAATAATACCATCTCCAGTACTCAACTGTTCTTGATATTGCTGATAATGATGATAAGGCTGTTTACCATCACTTGAATTCCTGGATGTTCCAGACACTGTCCTAAATGTGTGCTCTTACCCCCATCCTTCTTCCCTATCAGCAGGCACACACACAATCCATGACTAACGTATTCAGGAGTGATGTGAAAATGTTTATGGGTGGATTTCATTGACTCCATTGATGCTTAGCGTAGTTAAGTAACTTATAACATGCTCAAGGGCTCAGTAAGTGGGAGAGCTGAGATTTAAATTTAGCTTTGTCTGCTACACAGCGCATATTCTTACTGTACTGCATGTTCTCTCCTCCTACCAACAAGCAAATACAAGTATTTCTTTGACCCTTCAGTGGGACGTGGGAGTTGTTCAGTCATGAAATTGTGATCTTTAAAATTACTGCAGTGTCTAATATTTTATTGCCCTGAGACTTCTTTCCAAAAAAATAAGAGCACTATTTCCATTACACAGGGACGCAAATGGGTTTGCCACTGTGATTTGCCTTTAGATGGCCGTCTTCCTCCTGGTCCATGATGGAGACCCCGCACCAAGCACATTGCTGACACCTAGCTTGTGACTAGAGAAATTGTATCTAGTATAGTCATAACAAAGCAGAGGGATCCATTTAAACAGAAAGACATAAAGGCAGAAGACCAACATTGGAAAGATATAAATAGAAACAGGATGAATCTATGAGAAGAACCATTATTCTGAACTTCCACAGGCATCTTGGAAGAAGAGAGAGCTTTGCAGAGGAATCTGAAGATGGAAGGAAGGAGTAACTTGCTGGGTATGGGAAAGAGTCCCGGGGCACAGATCATTAGAAAGTGAGGCTTTCACCCTCAGCTCCTGCACTGACCACCTGTACAAACTCGGTCAAGTCACTGAGCCTCTCGGGGCCTTAAGACCCTCACCAATACAGCAGAGGAGTTGGATAGATGTCTTCAGAGGTCCTTTTATGTGCCAGAGTTCTGTGATTCCAAGTGAAAGTATATTTAAGCTTGTACTTCCATTAAGTTTTCTGGTGGGTCTCGGTATCCCTTCTTTCTTTTTCATGCCCTTTTGGTGTAAGAAATTTGGTTTGGGACAAGAGCTAAGTGAAAGCTAAAAAAAAAAAAAAAAATTAAGGACTGACTTCACAATAAATATACATTTTTACATTTTTGGCTTGAAAACTAGAGTAGATTCAAAACAGCTTCAGTTTCTTTGACTATTAGACACATGCCTCATGCAAAACCCCAGCATGCTCTCCAACCAGCTGATGACTGGATAAGGTATTGGAGAAAATCATAACGAGGACAATTAATGATGGCTGATGACTGTCATATGTTGAAAGAAAAAAAAAACACTGTAAGTTTTGTGGATGTGATGAATGAGGGATAAATCGTGGATGCTGGACCAAGAGAGTGAAAAGGAGAGACGGTGATGTGAACATAGGCAAGGATGTTGGACGGTTTCCTCCTGGGTGCCTGGAACTAAATGTAAGGGGGACTTTTTCATTGCTACTATTTATGTTTGTGGGCCTTCCACCTGCTTATCTTTCTCCTTCCTTTCTTCGCTGGTGCTGCCTCGCTTGCCACTTCCATTCTCCCTGAGAGACAAATAGTATTTGGGTCTTGAAAAACAGTGTTGAGAACAAATTCCCAAAGCAGGTGTCAGTGGGGGTTATTTGAGCAAAATAGCTGGGGGCAGAGATTGTTCCTCAATTGCACATTCTCAAAACTGTTCGGGGGAAAAATGTGTTCCATTTAGCATATATTAGATAAACTGAAGCATGTCATGTATAGGCTGGAAATTGTCTCAGATATCTGGGAAAGTGACCTATAGGCCTTCAGTAGTACCGATATTGACTTGTGAGACTAGATCCTGACACCTGAAACATGGTTGGCGGGAAGGGCAGGGAGTGCATTTGGAAGGGCACCCTTCTCATCTGAAGAGACTTAGGGTCTCAGAGTTCAACATTATTCACTGTCTGTGGACAAATATCTCTGAGTTTTCCCTCTTTTTTCACATTAATGTGCATGGTGACCACATTCCGAGCTCAACAACCAACAGCAGGCTAGTAAACTCTTTCTATAGCCAGATCTACCCAAATTCATTTTCTTTCTCCTTTTCTAAGGATCCGGTTGTCCTGACTTTCTTCATCCTCTTTGCCAGAACTTGGCTTTGTGTGCCTTTGTTCTCGTGGATTCTAGATTATAGATGTACTGATCTTCTCAGTTTGACTCTCTGGATAAGAACATATCCAAGGAAGATCAAGGTGCCCCTCTCTGACCCACACTGCTTGCAAATTCCAGGACAGTATCCGCCCAAGCCGTAAATCACATCTTCTGCAAATACACATGCCCCCCTCATTACTACCTGAGACAGGAAGAGAGGGGTAGTTCCTTCCCTGCACTTCTGTGATGGGGTACATCTTTGACAGACTGCTTTAGTACCATGGTGACAGGTACCATGGAAATGAAAAGACCAAATTAGGTGTGGGAGGAACTACCTACAGGCAGAATGACTTCAAAAAGGTCTTGCCTTCTATGGTCCTGGGTCCCCTTGGCTGCACTGGAGAATGTAATTACTTCTTCACAGCGGGCCGGGAGCATGGGATCCACCAGCCTGTCTGGGTTTGAGTTGTCTGTGTCAGGATTAAGCCACTGGGAAGGGCCATGCAATTTGCCAACCCTAGTAGATGCAGGTGCATCTAATATTCATGTGCAGGACAAGACACATCACACAGCCAGTAATGCTCTTTGTTTTTTGTTGTTTTTTCTTTTCAAGGTATTTGGAAACATAAAATTAGATGAGGAGAGTCACATCAACCGGCACAACAACTTCCGGAGTTTCTTTGGGTCCCTCATGTTACTCTTCAGGTATCTGGATGCATAACTGTTGTAGCTGGAGCTCTCTTGTCGAGGGAGACAGAGTTAGTCTGCCTTTTCCTCCTATTTGTCTCTTTATTCTGCTTGCTCTGCTCCTATTAAGATACACAGTTGGAGTAGAGGCAGAGGTTGGGGAGGGGCAATGGCTCCATTGATGATGGGAAGTTTCCTCAACGTCTTTGACTCAGCAGGTAATTTGTAAACGGCAAGTTTAGAATATGTGCAGCAGGACTGAGGAGGGAAGGCGAGGACAGTTTCCTCCAGATCAAATTCCATTTAAGGGCTGAAACGCTGGATGGCCAGGTTTATGTGGGGTCTTAGATAGTCCCACCACTGCCTCTACCACTGTCAGCAGACACTCCCAAAAGACAGAAGCAGTGGGTGAGGAGGCAGAGCCCAAGAGAGACCTCCTTGGCACGCTCCCATCTCTGGATGGAGAGCACTAGAGGGAGGAAACCTACAGAGAAGAGAAAGGGATGGGTGAGTTGGGAAGGAGGGCCAAGGAGAGGATGAGACATGCAGACCTGCTACAACTAACCAAAATGTCTTTGGGGCTCAGGAGTGCCACAGGTGAGGCCTGGCAGGAGATAATGCTGTCGTGCCTCGGGGAGAAGGGCTGCGAGCCCGACACCACTGCACCTTCGGGGCAGAACGAGAATGAGCGCTGTGGCACAGATCTGGCCTACGTTTACTTTGTCTCCTTCATCTTCTTCTGCTCCTTCTTGGTGAGCAAACCCTGCATTCTGGGCTCGAGATGTGGCCTGCCCTACCCTGCACTACCCTACCCTTCCCCACCCTACCCTACCCTACCCCATCCCATCCTCCAGGGAACTCTTGAAGACCAGGATGCTTAGCGGACTCCCGGGCAAGTGACTTCCCATGGCTGCCACCAAACAGATTTTGTTGCCTCTAGGGAAGGTTTGCTGTGAGAAGGAATGATGAGTGGAGTGGAGTTTAGGGAATAGATTATTGAGTTTGATGTTGAATCTGTTGTGACCCAGAGGACATCTCTCTTCTCTGTACCTCAGGGATTTTATCTTACAGATAGGGCTAAGAATATCTTACCTCTCTTTTGGAGCCTTGCAAACTGTTGAGAAGAGGTACCTCAGAAATATAAAGTGATAGGATTAATAAGAGTCGCGTGCTGACAAGATACAGTGGCACAGATGCGGTCTCTTGACTCACGTCACTATATTTGACAACAGTTGGCCAACTTGACAGACATGAAAGGAAGTCATCGCTTTGGGCATTAGTAAATACTGAGTGACATATGTGGAGCATGGCTACTTATAAAATGGTGAGAAGCCCTAGGTGCCTTCTTAATCCGTTCTTTGGGAGAAAGCATGAATCAGCACCCCGGCCTCTAAAAATCTCTACCCTGCACAATCCTAGACGAGGTGCTACCAGATCTGTTAAATTGTTGGTCTGGTGTTTTTGGCCACCCTGACATCCCTCAGCGTGGCTTCACTGCTCATGTCACTGACTGTACAAAAACCTAAAACTAGGGGCGCCTGGGTGGCTCAGTTGGTTGAGCATCTGCCTTCAGCTCGGGTCCTGGTCCTGGGATCGAGCCCCACGTGGGGCTCCCTGCTCAGCGGGGAGCCTGCTTCTCCCTCTGTCTGCCTCTCTGCCTACTTGTGCTCTCTCTCTGTCAAATAAATAAATAAAAGTCTAAAAAAAAAAAATCTAAAACTAAAGCGGTGCCACTGAGAAATGGTTAACTTTGCATGCAGCCATGCATCAGCAAATGAATTAGGTCATGTCCAAGCATTTCTGCCTCTCTAAAGTGATCACGAGGGATTTGCCATGTGTCTAGCTCGCTGGTGTGGAGAAGCTCTCTGGTGTGGCTTGCAGGCACACTTTTGAGGGTGGCCATCAGGTTAACCCAGCAGGGAGTGAGCCAGCTGGAGACTCAGGTAGCCCTGCGTTGTGGTCTTGGCTTTGCTGCTGTCCTAGCATGGTCACACACTTTCCCTTTTGTAGCTCCTGTAAATGAGAGGAAAAATGACTTGATAATAAGGGTATTATTTGCATGGTGAACGGGTACATGTGTTTTTAATACACTCCCTTCTTGTGGGTATGAAAGGTTTTTCAGTGAAAAAAAAATAACACAAAACAGCATCTTAGAAGCATGGGGGTGAAGCTGTGAGTGGGTTACAGTCTCTCTGTCAACCAGAGGCAAAGGGAGGAAGGCCCACGGGTGCCGGTGCTTGTTGATGGGGCTGTTGTAGGGTGACGTGGAGGAGCATATAGAAGGGCATGTGGGCAGCTTGGTTTTATCCTCCATGGTGTAAGTGTTTAATAATAAATATTTAAAAAGAAACCAAAGATATAACTGGAAAATTCATTAGAGACTAAAAAGGTACTTTTAGAATTATGAGATAGAGGGTGCTGCATAATTCACATTCATGTTATTTTTAAAGAGGCTATATTCAGTATGAGCCGATGTGCTTTCGAATCTTGGCCCTCTGAGAGATTGACTTTGTGACCTTGGGCGAGTCACACAGCTTCTTCGCTCAAACCAACCACTCCAGAAAGATTCACTGATACACTGCGATGTGCCAGGCCACATGCTTGGAGCTGAGAATACAAATGTGTTTAGGAAGCACTTGTGTCCTCGAAGGGCTGATGGCAATTAAGTCTGCCTCACGAGGTTAGAGCAGCGTTAAAACAAATTATCAGTTTGAGCGTGCACACCACACTATGAAAGACTATACAAATGTAAAGCAATGATTTTGTTAACATTAGTAATAAGTACCTTGAAAGGCGTGTAAAACACATGTGTGGATACGTGGAAACCCTTTTAGAACCCAGGCAGTGATTGAATAATTCACTGTGGCTCCAATGTCAGCGACAGAAAGAAAGGCCCAGCCCATGCTGGGATGAGGTTCAGCGGCATGAAACAGAACTCCCCAGATAACAGCGGCTTAACCAATAGGGAGGTTTATTTCCCTCACACACCAGTGAGGTCTGAAGGAAGGCAGTCCAGGCTTGTTATGGTGGCTCTGCAGAGTGCTTAGCGCCCCAGACACCACCTCCAGGGGCCAGACCTCCAGGCATCCACGTATATCCTCTTTGGATATACGTGGCGGGACAGAGGAAGGCAGGCAGGCAGGAATGAGACGGGTTGTTAGGATGCAGCCTGCAGGCTCTGCATAAAGACTCTCAGAGAAGACTCCAACCACGTCCTGTCTCCAGACTTTCTCCTTATCTTTATTTTTGAAGAGATTTTTATTTGAGAGTGAGAGCATGAGAGTGGGGTGAGGGGCAGAGGGAGAAGCAGACCCCCGCGGAGCAGGGAGCTCAATGCAGGACTTGATCCCAGGACTCCGGGATCATGACCTGAGCCGAAGGCAGACGCTTAACCAACAGAGCCACCCAGGCACCTGACTTTCTCCTTATCTTCTGTGCCACCTGCACATCTGGCACCTCCATCCACCTGGGAACCAACAGAGCCTACTCTCACCCCATCAGCCCGTTGTGTCTCTCAGGCAGGACTCTTACTCCGGAGTGACAGAAGGCCCAGCTCCATCTGGCCTAAGTGGAAAGGGATTTTATAGGCACATATAAATGAAAAGTCCTGGGGCAGGGGAGGCATAAGCAGGTTCCTTTCTCTGCGTATGATCTCTTCCTCCAGGCTCCATGAGAGCTCTTTCCTCAAACACCCCAACCTGTGGCACCAAGATGGTGGTAGCAGCAGTTCCAGACCCCAATCCTCACACATTCAAGACTGACAGGGAAGAACAAGTCTATTGCCCAGAAGGTCCAATACCATTTTATTGGCCGTGATTGGATCACCAATCCCTATGACCCAGGGAAGTGGGATTCAGTGACTGGCTGAGGCCCGGGTCACAGGTGGTGCCCCATTGAACCATGTTAACTGGGAATAGGGTGGGCTCCCCAAGAGACCAGAGGTACAATAAATGAGCACTCGGCAGCCAAGAAGCAACAACAGTGTGTGTTCACGGGTGCTCAAGTTCTGTCAATTCCATGTCTTTTGATTCTCGACTATCGCCACTGCTATCCTGCCACGGGGTTGGTCCAGGAGCACCGAAAAATTCTCCCCACAGGTCTCCTGGGCACCCTCCGCTGCACTGCTCCCAAGGGTTCTTTCTGGATGAAACATACCTCTGTCTCTCTCCTAGTATAAACCCTTTTGGTGGATTCTGTTGCTTCCTCATAATTTAGACCAGAAATGGGCAAACTGTAGCCCAAGGGCCAAATCCAGTTTGCCACCTCTTTTTGTATGGCCCCTGAGCTACCAATGGGTTTTACATTCTTAAATGGTTACGGAAAAAGTCAAAAGATGGATGATATTTCATGAACTGGAAATTATATGAAATTCACATTCATACTCCTTTCTGATCCCAGTGTAACCTGCGTACATTTCTTTTATGGCTCCTAAAAAGATTTATAGCATTTGTATGTTCCTGATACATCACAGTCCCTGCTAAATACTAAGTCTTTAAGAATATTCAAGTAACAGTATCTAGTGAAGGCTTGCTGTGTTTTAAGCAATGTGCGAGGCATAGGAATGTATCTCTGGACAGCCCCTTTCTTATTTCCCCTCCTTAGCATCTGGATCTCTACAACACAGTGGGTGCACAAGAAATGTTGTTGAGCAAATAAGTGAGAGAACAGGGTTTTGGAAGCCACTGAGGGGCATGGACAGCTTCCAAGTGATCACATAGTAAGCCATGCAGTGAGCTCTAAAGCACCTCCCCAGGTCTCTTGATGGCTCCTTTTGTGGAACTAGGGGCAGGGACAGGGGAAGCTAGAAGGGAAGGTTGGTGTCAGGCCTTGACTTTGAGAATGTTGTCACTGTTGCTGCTCCCTCTGCTGCACATCAATTAAATTAATTGAACAGATAAGAAAGTGACTTTTTGTGGAGTTCTTCGCAAATATAAAGTGGCACTGAAGAGTGAAGTAATAAAGCTCACACAATGAAATGTGTGGAAATCATGAGGAAAACATGTTGCATTCAGCAAGATCAGCAGTGCTTTAGCTAGGATCTTCGGCCTCACAAACTTTTGAATTCCTTGATTTGCCTTGAAGCCCATTTTCCTACATTAGGTTTCCCCTAACTCCACTTCTCCCCCTTGCCCTCCAGATGCTCAACCTGTTCGTGGCCGTCATCATGGACAACTTTGAGTACCTGACTCGGGACTCCTCCATCTTAGGGCCTCACCACTTGGATGAGTTTGTCCGTGTCTGGGCAGAATATGACAGAGCTGCATGGTGCGTAGGCCTCCCAGCCATCCCAGTGGGGCCCGTAACAAGGACCTCTGGAGTTCCCAAGGAAGGGGTTGGAACCGGATGTCTGCCTGTTACAGAAGGAGAGGAGATTGCTCTCAGTCGTGGCCTGTGGGAGAGCCCAGGCCCTCAGATTGGCTCTGGTATCAGGCCAGTCATCAAAAACACAGCTTCTTTATCTTCGTTTCCCCTCTCATTCCTTCTGTGACAGGCTTTCCTTTTCTTTGCCGATCTCATCACACAGTCTCTACCTCAGAATGGTTGGTTTCAACTGCCAGAGGGGCTTCCCATAATCTTTTTCTTTTTCACCCCTGCCAATGGTTAGTGGACTCCTTTGAGTCGCCAGAGCGGGAGGGGTGGGGGGGGGTGGGTTGACAAGGGTTTTCTGGGTCAGTTGAACATCTGGCCATCGTGGTCAGTGACAACAGCATTTTGTCTCTCTCATCCCTCTCAAAAGATACTGTTTGAGATAACTCTGAAATTATGTTAAAAACCGAGCAAGTAACACTTGAGGTTTTTATTGCATAGAATTGAATTACATGGCAGGAATTAGCATGAATAACCTCCCCAGATTTCTTTCACTGTTCCGTATTTCTCAAGTGATGTGCCTTCTGGGCTTTCGAGCAGGGGTTGGCAAACTACAGCCTCAGGGCCAAACATGGTCCGCTGGCTATTTTTGTAAATAAAGCTTTATTAGAACACAGCCAGGCCCACTCATTGATGCATCGTCTATGGCAGCTTTCACACTATAAGGCAGAGCTGTGTAGTTGTGACAAAGACAGTGTGACCCTGAAAATCAAAAATATTACCTGACCCTTTACGGAAAAAAAATTTGTGGATCCCTGCTTTAGAGCGCAAAGGCAGCAATTTGGCCCCTCATGGTTGAGGACAGGGTGACCATTCTGGGAGCACTCACTCCACAGGAACTTTTCTGTCCCGTGTCATTGAACTTTAGGATCTTACCTCACCAATCTACCCATTTTGGTCCCCTTCTAAAAATACTACAAAAAATGCCATCCTTCCCAGGAATGGCCCACGTTGCTTCCACCTGGAGCCCCTTCATAATCCGAGACTTTTCCTAAAATCTACCCTCCTGTGAGGCTGTTGAACTTGGGTCAAGCGTTGGAAGAGTGGATCAGAATTCCTCTTCCCCTCAGTAATTACTAGTGACTTAGGGCACAGAGTTCTCCAAATCCATTCCTGTTACAAATGGCTGAGCAATGGCGTTACTTTCTGGGTCTACTTTCTGGTAGATAGGCTGCTTAGAAAGCCACGGGTGGTGTTAGAGGGAATGTAGGCAGGGCCTGCATCGAACCGGCCCTGTGGCCTTGGACAAGTCACCTAACCACGCTAAGCCTCCTCATCTGTAAAATGGTGCTAATGATGCCCTGCCTACCTTGAAGGGTGGCTGTGTGGCTTATATTAGATCATGTATGTAACTTGTTACAACCGATAATAACCATATGGGAAAGCAACCAGAAATGATGGAACATTGGTTTGAAAAGCATGGATGGCCATGAGATGGGGAGCCTAAGAAGGGATGTCTTCACTCCCCTGAGAGAGGAGAACTGCTTGTAGAAGAGTCCATGGCTCACCCAGCCTCACTCAGGTGTCTCTGGCTTTTGTGTTATCTTGGGACCTGAAAACCTTGTGCATTAAACATGCTCCTCCCCACTCATTCCAGCTGCTGGGAAGAAAGAATTCCATGAGAATTAAAAAAAAAAAAAAATCATGAGACTTAGATCGAAGAGCTATGAGAGAGCAAAAATAGAAAGGAGAACCCCTTCTGCTTCAAAATTCACAGCATAACAGGCTGGTTAGAGTTTCATTGGTCTTCTCTTTGAGATGCGGGGGGAAGCGCTATCAGGGATAATATGAGCCAATGTCTTGGCCAACTGATACAGGATGCAGAGAATACCAGCTTATAGGCAGTACGAACCCACCCACATCCCAGTCTCAAGAAACAAAGAGCAAATGGTTAATTGAACTTCCTCTCAAGAATCAAGAGACTTGAAGTACTGATGAGCTGCTATTTAGAAAAAGAGGAGGAATTAACACCAACATCAAGAAAAGACTAGAAAGAGTAAAGCTGGGACCAAGCCTCACATGGCTGCTGGCAAGGACCGGATGCTCCGAGGTGGACATGTAGGTTCATAATTTCAGGTAGAAACCATGGTCCGTCCCGGGACCAGGAGGTTGCTTCCTTGTTTTGGTCTCTGACAGGGCAGATGCTTTAGCCCCTGAAAATGAATCCATTGTTGATTCTGTCCTTCCCGCAGAAAGCCAGGACTCCCTAGCCGGCCCTTGATAGAAGGGTGGTAAGATAGGTCACATTGTTCCTGGAATTCTGGCTGGATCTGACCAGGCTGCCTGCCTGTGGGCTGGCTGGCAGGAGCAGAGCTGGAGGGAGAATGTCCACAGCTCCCTCCCAGGCCCCTGAGCATAGATCCAGGCAGGCTGCCCACTGAGGAGAGCAGAGCTTGCCCAAGCTGAACTCGGGAACAGTCTGCTGCCCCGAGAAGCAAAGCCCTTTGCCAATTCCCTTGTGCTAACTGTGCTCCTTGCTAATTAGCCTAACGGGAAATTCGTCTCTCTCCGTCTGCAGAGAAATGCTGACTTCCCACTGCCCCTGACAGGGCGGGTCTGAGTGACTGGCTGTAATCGGTCTCTGTGAAAAGCATACCATTGGGCAGCCCACTTCATGGCAGCCTGGCATCTGCTCTGACAGCTGTCAGAGGCCTTCCTGAACTCTCAAGCTCTGTTCTCCGAGGCCTGGATCGAGCCAGTGTCCATTTTCTGCATCTGGCTGACCATGGGCCAGACAGATGTCTTGGGGGGGCTCTGGGCCATTTGGCAGTCCCTCGGGCGCTGGACGGGCTCTGATTTCCTTCGACAACCGGGAGCAGTGCAGTTCAGCAAGGTGGTGGTTCTCTGATGCTTACTGTTCTCAGTCTGTCCTGGTCTGGCTTTGCTGGGTCCCAGGGGGGGGAAAAAAAACAAAAACAAGAGCTGCTCTTCTTCTTCTGGCCATCAGCTTCATGGCTAAACTGTCATGTCTTTCCCACCCTTTTCTGAGTGTCCTCTATTAACCCACCTGTGCTTCCTTTGCAGCGGCAGGATCCCGTATAAGGATATGTACAAATTAGTGCGGGTGATCTCACCGCCTCTGGGCCTGGGAAAGAACTGCCCCTACAGGGTGGCTTGCAAGGTTGGCCTCCCAGTCCCCAGCCGTGCCCGGCTGTGGGGTGCAACCTCCAACCCTCCTGTCCGTTCTGCTCCACCACCACTGCGCCACATGAGGGAACCTTCATGTTGCTTTCCTTTGAGTTTAAAGAGGTCCAAACCCTCCCAGAACCAGCAGCTGTTACATAAGGAAGAAGGGCACATGGTGGGGGGCGGGGGCGGGGAGGCAGAAAAAAAGGGCTTCATACAGAAGGCTGAGGTGACCTCTCTCACTGTTCAGCACATGCACACACTCAGTCACGTGTGTATGCACACACAACCACACACACACTCACACACACTCGGTCTCTCTCCCCACTCCACCTTAACCTGTAGCTTTCACCAGAGGGACCTCTCTGTCCTCCAGAGAATTCGGACATCTTTGCTGGTTTCCCTTCACCGGAGAACAGAGAGCCTCTTTTTGGTAAAAGTAGCATCATCCTCCCATGTGTAAAGTAGCAAAGTGTGATCCTAGTCAGCCCTACCTCTGCGCGTCCTCCAGCTCCTGGAGAGTCTGGCCAGAAGCGATCGTAAAAGCTCGAGGATAGAAAGGAGGTGAGAAGCCATAAAGAATCCGAGCTAAAGGGGAGAGCGGTAGGACAGGATAGCCTCGGTGGTGTGTGGAAGAACGCAGTAGTTCAGGGGGTCTGGGAAGGTCTTTGTAGGTGACGGAGGGCTCCTGAGCAGATGCCTTGCCTTAGGGTCCTCTGGATATTGCCGAGGGGACCAAGGGGCCTGTCATAACTGCCGCATCGCTGCTTGTTTGTGAGACCAAGGACGTTGTTCAGGGTCACGTGGGACGCCCTCTGCAACTCTGCCAGACCCTGGGAACTTGAGCAGGAGTGGCTCTGCCAAGCCGCTGTCCAAGGCCAAGCCCGCTAGATAAGGAAGCCCCTCCTGGCACTGCAGGAGGGAAGGGTGGGCTCTCTGGGCATAGCACGGTCCGGCAGCTGGCAGAAGACGTAGGCCCAGGAAGATGCCAGCGTGAGCAACGGGATGGAGCTGGCTTGGGGGTGGCGACACAGTGACTCCCGTACCCCGGGGGCCAAACAGCTGCCTCTGCTGAGACTCTTTAAACTGCACCCCCGTGAAACCTGCAGCCGCATGTGGGGAGAGCCGGGAGGGCAGCATGGCATGCGAGATGCTCTTCCTCCTCCTGGTTTGGTTTCTTCTGTCCCCAGCATGCCATTGCCCCGGGGCATGCCAGGAGTAAAGAGCACTCTTCCCCACAGAGCCAGGTGGAAGCAACGGGGCCGGCCGACGCGGAAAAGCAGCCCACCACTTTGAGTGCAAGTTGCCGCCTCCTGCTGCACACACACCACAGAGGGGGATACACGACGTTCCGCCTGTGGGTTGAGAGGAGGAGAAAGGCCCGACTTCCAGGTCGGGGGCCCCATTCCGGCGGGGGCCAGAAATCCTAACCCGTGGCTGGAGCACCGTCTATCCGTTTTATACCGCTCGCACACAGCCCTGGGAATTGCAAACAGGCTTGCGGTGAATGGGGGATGGATAGAGTGAACAGCCAAGTAGGGTCCTGATCGTCCAGGAGGAGAAAACTGAGTCCCCACGACTGCGCTCTAGAGTCAGAGGGACCAAAGTGTTGCCACTAATGTTCCCGGGTCTGTGTGGGGCGTGATATAAATCCGCACCAGGATGGAGTCACACGTACGATTTGCCTTGATTAACAGGTTTCCTATTCTTTTTCTGTTTGTCCATTTTGTTTTGTTTCTCTTCTGTTTTCTGTATTATTTTGTTTTGGCTCTCTGGGAATGCCTGTTCTCCTCCCGGTCTGCATCCTTCTCCCCACTTCCTGTTCCTTTCCCTGCCACCCTCCCTGCCCCACCAACCCACCCCACCCCCACTTACCACCCCTCCATGAGCAGTGGCCGCATCCATTACACTGAGATGTATGAAATGCTGACTCTCATGTCACCACCGCTAGGCCTCGGCAAGAGATGTCCCTCCAAAGTGGCATATAAGGTAGACCACCCCTTCCTTTATTCTGGGCTAGAGACCAACAGGAAACGGGACCCAGCTGTGGGGAGGCCAGACTATGGGGAGGAAGCTGGGCTGGGGAGGTGGAGGAGGGAACCAAGGGGGAAAGAAACAATGAGATCGAAGGGCAAGGAAGGTTCCTGGAAGTATGGAGCCCTAGAACAATACAAAGCATGCTTGGCAAGACTCTTCACCATGGGGCGTTTTATGTGTGATTCTGTGTTTCTGTAAGCGTGTGGCTTCTCATGAATTACCAGATTACCAGAGAGTACCAGAAAGGAAGTGTTAAGTAACGTGTTTCCTCAGAGGAGGCAGAGGTGGCCGGCAGGATAGCGTATATGGGCAAGAAGGAAGCCTACAGTGAAACTGATATCAGAGCCTATAAAAAAAAAAAAATCTTCAATTAGATAAGCTAAGGAAATAAATGCAGAAATTTGTCTAAACATGGTTCAAGAAATTTTTAGGAGAGGGGAAAATCCTTAACAAATTTCTTCTTCTTTGACATAGGAAGGAACTGTAACAGGGTTCCTTCTAGGTGTATCAGGAAAAAAAAGAACAACATGATCTCTGTGATACTTGAGGAAGAATCCAGCCCCCTCCCCCCATCAGCCCAGCTGCCAGGCTCTCTTGTCAGTACAAGGGAAAAGGTGACGGCACAAGTTGCCCTCGGCATTAGATTTGCTTTCTTGGCATGACTGATGATGGGGGCTGGCCCTGGAGTCAAGGGTGGATTCCCCACGGCTTGCTCAGAGCAGTGTTGTATATTGGAAGTCACCTGCCATCAGGGTACTCAGAGCTTTGGGGCCTGATTTTCTTCTCTACCTGTTAGTAATAGTTACCGTGGGGTGTTTAGACTGACCCAGCACTCCGGAGCTCTTACATCTAGGAAGGCACCCCAGCAATGTTGCCACTTGTCTAGAAGCTTAAGGAAGTGGGAGAGAGATGGCACTCAGGTACAAACAAGGAACTGACTTTACACTCTTTTAAGACACCACGTCTGTGGAATCACATTAGGTGAGATGTTCCAACGGAGCATTAGAGATCCTGCCTTGGGAAGAGACACATCCCTCCCTGCTAGGCTGGTGGTTCTGCCAGAGGACCTTCTAGCTGCTTCTACCTCCAAGTTGTATGGCTCCAGAGAGCATCTCCTTGGAACAGGGCCGTTTCAGGTCCAGGACATGGCTCTTCATGTGCAGCTTATGGGCTGGCATCCTTTTAGCTCATGATGGCCACATCCAAAAGGACCAGGTGGTGGGACATGGCATTGAGTTCTTTGAATTTCTGGGATGAAGCTTGGGGGGAGAGGGGGTGTGGAGCCTGGAGGAAAAGTTAAAGGATTCCAAAAGCAAGATACTCTCTGGAAAGTGGATTTGGCCATTTCCGTTTGAGCCCTTCCTTCGGGTGAGGGGAACGAGGCCTGCCCACTCTGCTCCTGCCTTGGTCACCCTTCTCTCCTTCTCTCTCCTCTGCGCTCTGCAGCCTTCTTCCCCGAGACCCTGTTGGCACTCTTTTCCATCCTGCTCCACCTCATCCTTTGGATAAGTTGGACTTATGCATGTTTAATCATGTGCTGGCAAATTTCACCTTTTAAAGACTCAAAAAGGGGGCATCAGGATGCATCTTTCAAGTCAGATAAGCAAAGCGAAATCTCCCCCATCACTCTCTTTCCATTTGAGTTTTGGGGGTATCCATGGGACAAGGGGAAACAGAGAGCAGCCTTGAATCAGGGAATGGAGTCACCTCCCAGAGCTGACTCTTTTCTCTGAGCCGCTTCTTTTAAAAAAATCACTTTCCATCCCTATGAAAGATGTTCTTAGGACCATGGAGGAGTCCTGCAGAATGACTAGTCCCCCTCCTTTTGGAATTCGGCGACATTCCCTAGGAAAAACTACCTAACTACATAGCAGTGAATGAGCCTTAAGTGAGAAGCAGAGAAAGGAGGTGGGACCGGGGACAGGGAATCCTTGCCCTTCTTTTTTGTCTCTGCATTTGACGCCTGTACTTCTCTTCTCTTCTCACCAAGGTTTCTTTCGATATTTTTTTTTTTTCCTCCTGCTGTTTCTTTTCTCTCTTTCGCACAGAGGTTGGTCCTGATGAATATGCCGGTAGCTGAGGACATGACAGTGCACTTCACCTCCACACTTATGGCTCTGATCCGGACAGCTCTGGACATCAAAATCGCCAAAGGTGAGCTGGGGAGGGACAACGGGATTCTGGAACAACCCACCCGAGGTGGCACAGGATGGAGATTTTGAACTTGCGTCCCTCCGACAGTGCCGGGATGTGGAAACCAGCTCTGTAGTGTCCTAGTTCCACCTCTGACTCGATAACTGTAATGTTTGCCGTTTCTTCCTGGAAAAATGAATGGTTTGGTAATCTCTGAGGCTCCTTTCAGCTCTACCAGCCTGCGATCTTCATTGTCTGGCACATAGTAGGCCCACAGAAGTCTTTGCTTATTGAACGAATGACTTGATTCTGTCCTTTTTTTTCCCATGTGGTATCCTCTCTAATGCCCTGGAAGGTTCGTGGCGGGGGCTATTGGGGCAGTACTTTGCTCCTCTCCATTTCTGATTCAGTGATTTAGGAGAGGAAAAGTTTACTACTTCCAGATGCACCTCCAGCCTTCCTGCTCTTGCCTGATCCAAATCCTTTTTAAAATCAGGTCACTCAGGCTAGGGAGTCAGAGTCGCTGGAAGAATTAATGTACGTCTCATGAGGCAGGGGAGGCTCCTGATGGCTCTTTTCATTTTTCCCTCTGGTATATTAAGCACCTGGGAGGTGTTTCTAATGAATGAGGAAGCTGCTCTTGGTCTCGGGGCCTCAGATCCGTGGCAAGATCTCCCTGAGTCACTAAAAATGGGAGCCAAATTGTGTTCTGCTTCTTCAGCAGAAAGACCTGGTATTACAAGATCCACTGTCACTGAGTGCCAAGACTTCCTCTGAGAATATGAGGTGCCATGCTGATTCAGCTCCCACCCCCCACCCACTCCCTCAGTCCTTGGTATTTGTGTGTCTGTTCTATTTATGAAAATTTATCTTCTAGGTGGTGCAGACAGGCAGCAGCTAGACTCGGAGCTGCAAAAAGAGACCCTGGCCATCTGGCCTCACCTGTCCCAGAAGATGCTAGATCTGCTTGTGCCCATGCCCAAAGGTGTGGGGTCTCCTCCTGGGTAGTGTTGTCACTGTGGGCTCAGCATGCCACGGTCACGTCTTTTGGGAGAATAGGAAGTGATCAAGCAGATAGAGAAAGGTGGCTCTTTTATCCGTAGGAAACCCAAATCCCCCACTTCCTAATCCCTTTGCATGCACTGAAAACATTTTTTCAAGATAGGTCACTGTAGTTGTGGGTGAACCTCCTTGGGCGCATAGCCCTCTCCCTGCGTGTAGCAGTGCTCAGCAAACCCTCACACATTGGCGGTCAGGGTGCTGTGACTTGGACACGGGAGTCTAGACCAGTGGAGGTGATGCTTACTCAGATGTGGTTTCTCATCGGTATCCTTGCCCCCGCGGGGTGGAGGTGGAAGCTCCCTGAAGGCAGACCTGGGAGCTCACCACTTGGTATCCCCAGGGTCCAGCACACACGGAGCTCTCCGTAAATGTTGGCTGCATGGGTGGCTGAGGGAGCAGACCTGCTTCAGAGAGTGGGGAGGCTTGTGAGGCGCCCTCACTCTCTGCCACTGTCTCCTCCCTGTTCCCTCCCGTGCCACCTTTGTGGTTCTAGCCTCTGACCTGACTGTGGGCAAAATCTATGCAGCAATGATGATCATGGACTACTATAAACAGAGTAAGGTGAAGAAGCAGAGGCAGCAGCTGGAGGAACAGGTGAGGGTCCCTGACAGCAGGGGAAGTGGGTGGGCCATGAGGAGTCACAGGAGGGCCCCTCTAGGGCCAGGCCTGCGCCTCCCTGGGGCTCAGAAGCAGAGGCCGGGGTGTGGGGCCCGGGGACATTCTAATGTTGGGGATTAGAAACCCAGGAGATCGGAGGATCAGACATGATCCTATCTTACCCAAGTGAATGGTATCCCCCACTCCCCCTGGTAGACCCCACCATCACATGAATCCCTCCTTCCTGCTTTTAACACAGAAAAATGCACCCATGTTCCAGCGCATGGAGCCCTCATCTCTGCCTCAGGAGATCATTGCCAATGCCAAAGCCCTGCCCTATCTCCAGCAGGACCCTGTCTCAGGCCTGTGAGTATAACCAAGGACTCCACAGCTGTCCTGCTTGCATCCGATCACCAGCACCATTGTGCAGGCCCAGAAATGCCCAGGAAATAATAGTCTGAGCCAAGTGATCCTTTCTCTGAGTTTGAGAAGACAACAGTTTTTATTTTAAAATGGTTATTCAGTAGGGGGAATAGCATGTTCGGTCCTGGGGCCAGCTTGAGAGAGAGTGAATGGACAAAGGAAGAAGGGCCTATGTTCATGTCTTTGCTCTACAAATAAGAAACTGGGGACTAAATAAGTTACCCACAGCCATGTGGCTCGTAGGAAGCTGAACTGGAAGTTGAGTTTGTTATTCCTAACTCCAGAGTATTCCCACTACACTGTTACCTGTAATGAACAAAAGGAACCTTAGATCAGGAAAAAATATATATATATTGGAAGCGGAAACAAAGCCTCAGTTAAGGAATTTGCCAACTCTTCTGAGTTGCGAGCCCTAGCCCCCCACTTGGTCGTTAGTCATACATGATTTACTATAGCAGACATATCTCATTATAACCTGAACTTCTTTACATCAGCGAGCATGTCCAAGTTCCAAAAGGGCAGGAATCTCTCTGCCCAAGTGAGTGAGTTTTTGCAGTTGGGTTTAACCTGGTCTTCGTTCTCATGGAGCTGATAATCATTAAAGACCACAACCTCAGTAATTATCAGGGGAATGAAATCAAGGCTTGGGAATGAGACCTCTGTCAGAATGCCGTTTGGAGTTTCTCACACCACCAATTCCTTTAAGCCTGTGATGCTGGACACCTGTTTTTGAAAAGCATTGATTTCAGAGGTCTTAATCCAACACATTTGCAAGAGAAGCAAAGGACCAACATCGTGACCGAGGCTATTCATTTTTACAGATACTTGATGTGATAAAATAGCAAGGTATGGATTCTCCTGTCTACGGAAAACCAGAAGTCTGCCTTTGGTCTGTGCAGGAAGGGGGTATGACTGGAGCAGTGGAATCTTCCCAGGGGAAGTACAGGGTCTGTCAAGGGCCTTGGCTTAGAAAGAGAGGACACCCCTCCTCCTAGATCTCTCTCACCCCAACAATTTGCCATATTTAACTCCTACTACAGCATCAGTCCAACTCCTCCCTGTGTTTATTGATACTTTGACTCCTTGATTTGACCAATATTTATTAAAACCCCCTATGAGAGAAGAGCTGGCTCAGGCACTGGGGAGTTATCGGTCAACATGATCACGGCCCCCATGGAGATAAATATTGAAAAAGAAATTACAAAAGTGATGAAGGTTAAAATGCAGAAGGGTAGTCTCGTGTGATACCACAGAAGAGAAGCAACACAACGGTTCCGGTGTGTGGGGAGGCCTCCCTGTGGAAATAACATTTAAGGAGACTCAAAGGCAGGGTCTTCAAGAGAGTGGGGGGAAAGGAGAGAAGCCTCAGGAACCTGAAAACTGTCAGGATGGCTGGAGCTGAGGTGATGAGCTCCATCAGGGCCAGCACGGGGAAGCATTATAAACAGGATACAGGAGTGAGGATTTATCTAAGGATCATGGCGTTTTACTCATCAGTGTGACATGATCAGACTTGGGCTTTTCAGAGATGATTCTTAAAACCAATGTGGACTTGTATCAGAATGGAACAGTTTGAACGACAGAACTGCTTTTAGTATGTGACGGCAATTGTGTGAATTATTAATGACCGTGGCTTGGACTAACAGGAGGGAGATGGGGAGAGATGCTCAGACTTGAAATATGATGAGGAGGGAGACTGGATGGGATGTGGTGATTGATTTGCCTCAGGGAGTGAAGGAGGGGAAAAAAAAAAAATCAAAGATGACCCACAAGTTTCCAGCATAAGGCTTTGGGTGGATGTTGGCACACTTCCTGAAAGGGGTTCAGAGGTGGAGGTCCTCAGGACCTTCTGCCCGCCCTGAGCTTATACTTGGTGGAAAGCCAGTCATGAAACAGAATTATTGGAAAGCAGAAAAGTTGTCATTTTCAGTGATTTGTACTAGGAGGAAAACAGTGTGGCATAATCTGAGTCCACCTCCGTTCTGGCGGTGGGGAGAGATCAGAGAGCATTTCCTGAACAGAGTGAATTTTGAAGGATGAATTAAAAATAACATGAAAAAAGTTTGCCAAGGGCAGGGGAGTTGGAGAGAAGCACTCTGCTCTCTGGGAACAGCCTGTATTAACGTCTTGAGGCAGAGAGAAGCCGGGCGGGCCCATTCAGTGAACAAAGAGAGTCCAGTGTGTCTGAAATTCAGGAGCAGGAGGTAAAGGGCATGAGAAAGCAGGCAGGGTAGGAACCAGATCAGGAGAGGCCGTGTTCCAGACTTTATCCTAAAAATGAGAATCCAGACACGGTTTTTAAAGGAGGAAGTCACTCTCACTTCAAGTTATTCAACTCTAGGAGGTTGTTCAGTGATCCCAAGTGTCCTCTCTCCCTATTGGGGATCCTGTGGTGACTCAGAGAGCAGTGTCCATCTTGCTCCCAGTGATTCTCAGGAGAAGGCACACTGAGGAAGGGGACTGACATGTAAGCAGGTCATTTAAATATCAGATCGCTCTGTATCAGTTGTGAAAATTCAGCAAACATCCTCCTGGCAGCAAGGGGACAGGTGGGGTGACTCTCCGCTCTTCAGATCTCTCCCTGTGATCCCAGTCAAGGTAAGATTGTGCCTATGGATTATTTTTAAGTAAATTGGTTCACGCCTCAGATTTTCCAGCAGATGCACTCATGAGTGCAGTACCCTCCACTCTGAAATGGCTGTCCCTGGAGTACAGGACGATGCCCCCTCTCTCCCTTTCAGCTGCAGCCCCATCCCCGACCACTGTCCCTCTTCCCACCGTCAGGAGGCTCACTCCGCATTCTTGAGTAGGTCAGAGGGCACCTGTTACAGTGCTAGTCGCAGTGAATGGCAGCAACAGACACCTTCTCAGGAGAGACTGGCTACCTCTTTTTCTCCTAACCAGCCCCGTGGGTCCCATTGGCCAAGAGTGTCTGCAGGTTCCCAACAGTGGTTTAAACCGGGACGGCTCACCATAGCTTTCATTCAGTGGCCTCTTACCTCATCACCATTTAAGTGTTCTCCTCCATAACCATCAACCCAGAAGTTACCACCTCAGAGATCATTCCACCCAGTTCATAAACCAACAGACATAGGGTCTGGCACAGAATTGTCCTTCAGTGGATGTTCATGGCATTGAATAGTTTGGCCAAGGATGTTGGCACAATAAGACCATATTTCTGCTGAGACTGGGGGAAATTTTTTAAAAGACCACGACTGCTTAATATTTAAACAAACTGTTCACTGTTTAAACTACAGTATTTTTTTTTTCTCTGCTGAAGGGAGAAACTGAGCAGAAACAGGTTTGTAATTGAGCATGGGTCTTCCATATGGCTGAGTGTGACAAATAATGTCGTTTGTCACAGATAGACTAGTCACCAGCAGAATTCTGATGAATGGTTCCAAATGCAGGTTGAAAACAGTGGCTTCTCCTTTCCAGTGCTTTTTTTTTTTTTTAACTTTTTTTATTCTAGGGTCCAGCCCCCTGTCCATTACCAGCCTTATACCCAGCCAGTACTGACAGGTGTTGCCCTTGCCAGAAAGGAAGCCCCCCATCTGGGGTGGGGAGCTAGTAGCAGCTATGACAGGACTTTCCCTTTCTCTCGTGTACACGTGACGTCTGACTTTCCCATTGCTTTTCAGGAGTGGCCGTAGCGGATACCCTTCGATGAGTCCGCTCTCCCCCCAGGAAATATTCCAGTTGGCTTGTATGGACCCAGCCGATGGACAGTTCCAGGAACAGCAGTCTCTGGTGAATGAATGAGTTACATGACCTCAAAAATAGTTCCTTGGTTTCCCGATCCCTCCCACTCTCATTTCCGAATCTTATTTCATAGCTATGGTTTATCAGGAAAACTCTTTCTGATAGTCCTGCCAGTTAGTTACCCTGCTGTCTCTCCTTTTGTGGCTGACTTTCTCATGTTCTCTGACAAATGCTCCCTCTGCAGGTTTTAACAATCCCAGAGGCCCCTTACCTGCTTCAGGAACCTAGATCGCTTCAGGCCAAACCTTCTTAATTTATGCCTGTAAGCAGCAAATGTAGAAGCAAGAGTCACTAAATCTTGCCTTTGATATGGAGCCTTAGGATGAACCATCAGAATGAGTGGCACCAAATGGACAGCTTAGTGTAGCCAGGTACTGCTTCTGGGAACACAGGAATGCCCTACGCCGGCCCTCTGGAGATGCCCACCTCCTGGATAACTCAGGGGAGCATGTGTGACTGTGACGAGCTGTCAGCCAAGAGTTACAGAAAAATCTCTTACCTCTTTTCTGTGTGTCCCTTTTGGTCACAGTTCTATAAATCAAGTACATACTGAAAGGTCCCTAAAATCCCTCCCCTGAGCCTAAAGTTTTTCATTAGCATAAATGGTAAAATTCCTGAGAAACCTATTGAATCAAGTTTAAGCTGGGGGGGGCACATTGACCTTTAGATTTTGCTAATACAAAGCGAAAATAGCTTTGTGTTTTGATTCCCAATGATAATAGACTTTACCGTTATCCTTAGTTCAGGAGCCTGAGATCAAGGTCCGTCCTGAACTTAGAATCAAAGCCCAAGTGTTTGTGGGCCTGGAAAGAAAAAGACAAAACTCCACATTTGCAAAAGTCCATATAGACAGCTTATTCTGAGTTCCGTGTCACTTTGATTATAATTCATCTGTGTGTTTTTTTCTCTCCCTTTCTCTCCTGACCCCCTCCACTGCTACCATGCACCCCAGAGCCATCCTGGATGATGTGGGTGGAATGTGGGACTGGCCTGTTTATGGAGTGCATGTCTGATGGCATGGGAACCCTTAGAGGGGGCAAAACCCTCCGGTAGCTCAAACAAATGGGTGATTCCGTCTCCTGTGACTGCTGAGACAGGGAGTTCTGTGTAGATGTTTGGGAGACCACTAGACCAAACCCTCTCAGGGCGTGAGTACCTTGGGTGTTCTTGGTAAGGTAGGCAGGAATCACTGGACTATTTCCTGCCTTCCTTTATGAGGAACTTAGCACCATGGACTAATTGGTACAGATAGTTTTTTATTCTTAAAAGTTCCTCTCAGCATTTTACAGCTTGTCTGCCTGATGATGTGTCTGGCTGGGAAAATCTCAATAATCTGTCCTTTCTTTCACAGGGAGGCTTGCTTTATTACATCATTATTTCTGTGGGTTCCGCAGGGCTGAGCCATAGTGCCAGGACTTTTTGGATCTGTGTTCATCTCATTGTCAGTACTGGTGTCTGTAATTCAGTTCAGGTGTCAGCCCGTGCCACACGCTCACCACTGTGTACTCCTGCCCATCCCTTGGGGCCCCCTGCTCCACGTCCAGAGGCTTGGCCATGATTTGTGCATGTGTCTTATCCCACCTCTCACACCCCACAAACTGCAGTGTTGTTACCACGTCTGTTTTTTAAGTCGGACCTGTGTGCTTTATAAAGCATGTACTGCAAACACTAAAATTTCCTCAAGCACACATATTACATGTCCTAGGAGGGCAGTCCTCCCATTCACACCAGAAACCACCCGGCCAAATGGTCTTGGAGGCTGAACCAGGTCTCGGGCACCCTTTCCTTCAGCAGTGCCCTATTTAAACAACTAGGTTTTTAGGGTGTCATTCTCTAAATATAAAATAGCTTTTTTTTTTCCTGGTAAAATCTCCAGATGTCCAGGATATTTCTAGGTCTCTTTGGTGGCCCATGTAAACATTTCTAAGGCAACTCTGCCCCTTAGGCAGTGACAGTAGCTATCTGTATGGATCATGTACATTTGCCAAACTAACATTCTTTAACCAGGAAAATCACCTAAAAGAGCTGACCCCTTAGAGAGTTCCAATCTAATCTTCTAGAGTGGCATAGGCCAGTATAATAGCCACTGCCCACATGTGACCATTGAGCACTTGGATTGAGATGTGCTGTAAGCAGAAAATACATGCCTGTGTCAAAGACATGGTGCCAAAAAGAATGTGAAATATCCCAAGTTTTAGATTGATTACATGTTGACATGAGAATATTTGGATATATTGGGCTAAATATATTAAACTTGATGGTTTTTAAAAATTTTTTTAAATGTAGTTCCTAGGAAATTTAAAATTACAGAGGCACTTTGCATACTATTTTTATTGGACTGCACTAGTGGAGAGCATCCCTGACAAATGGCTATCTATCATATCAATCAGAAAGAAAGTTCTCAGCTAATAAAATCATGTGTCTTAAGGTTTGAGATGATATATTTGATACCAGAAATTGGTGACTTTCCTTAGAACAGTGATTTCTGTTTGACAAATAGCTTCTTCCAATTAAAAGAATAAGCCTAACAAACACTACCAACTTTCAGAAAGTAAACTTCACATATCTAAGAAGTACTATGACATAATGTTTTACAGAGCTATAAAATCAGAAGCACTGCTTAGAGGTAAATAAGAGGATACTTGACTAGAAAAAGTAGTCTTTACCTTTCGGTCCCTGGTAGAATTTTCTGTTTGGGACATCTGGTATACCACAAGTGCACACATAGATGCACACATATATACACATACAACTGAGACCTTAAAGATGTAAGTCTCTCTTCTAAAAACCATTCTTGTTATGGAGGAGGCAGAATCATCCACCGGAGGTGAGAAGCAATGAGATGGAACCAAGTCCCACAAGCTTGGCTGTGTGTTTATTTCCAGGAGCCAGAGGTTAGTGAATTAAAAAGCGTGCAGTCCTCTAACCATGGCATCTACCTTCCTTCGGACACCCAGGAGCATACGGGATCGGGGAGGGCATCCTCTATGCCACGCCTGACTGTGGATCCCCAGGTAAAAAGCTATCACCACCTACCATGTGTAGTGGCATCCTGGACTGTATTGAATTGGTGGGTTATGAAAAAATCATCTGATATTTTCAGGTGAGCCCTCGACTTGCCCCCATCCCTTCCGTATAAGCAAAATCTGGCTCATGGGCCTTCTCTTTAGAGTCTGCTTGCTCCTCCACAGTGTGTTTTTAGTGAAGCCCTAAGCATAAAAGTCTAACTCCTTCTGGATGGGCTCAACATCTTCAAGACTCAACCAGCCATGCAAGAAATATTTTCCAGGATTTTTCCTCTGGTTCTTTTTTTTTCCTTTCCACCTTGCCTGGCTTCCCCAGCACATATGCAGTTACTTACACACACAGCTCTGTGTCAGGACCATCTGTCCTAACCAGTGCAGGCCACGCCTCATTTCTTTGTCTGTTTTTCTGGCTTCTTTTTTTCTGTCTGTCTGTCTTACATCAAGTTTTGACAGAGAGAAGAAGTTTTTGTGGATCTGTTTTAACATCTGTGGCAAATCAAAATGCAAGAGTTTAAGGTGGGGCCGGGGGAGGGGGGCGGGGGGATGGATGATAGAGAGCAAAGCATTCTTAGATGCTGCCCAGCTACGAGCTGTCCTAAGCTCCTGTGCTATAGGGAAGGGCCTTCCCTGGTGAGAGCAACAAAGAAAAGGCAAAGTTATGCTTCTTTCATGGTGCAGAATTTTTGATAATTGCCCTCACATATTTCAGAGTGGCTCAAGGTTCACTGCAGGTCCTGGCTGGGTCCCTGTGGTAGAGGGCTCTATGGGAAGCTTGCACTGTACATTTACTGCTTGCTTTCCTGAGCACGAAGACAAGACCGTGGATAAGTCTCAGTGTCTATGTTAACATAGCATAGGACGCTTGCCGCCAGCTAAGATCTGAGCAAGAGGGATTCAAGGAAGGTTACAGTTTGCAATCTTCAACAATCTTTAGCTCACTTCTTCCTTACTTTTAGACCTTTTCCGTAATTAATCCAGATTTTGTGTTCCTCTGGGGCTCCTATTTCCAGGTGGTGACAGATCCCAGCTCCATGAGACGTTCATTTTCCACGATTCGGGATAAGCGTTCAAATTCCTCATGGTTAGAGGAATTCTCCATGGAGAGAAGCAGTGAAAACACCTACAAGTCACGTCGTCGGAGTTACCACTCCTCACTGAGACTGTCAGCTCATCGCCTGAATTCTGACTCAGGTGAGGGGGGGTGTTCCCTGTTCACCTCTTTTCAGGCTCCTGCGCTGATGACCAGTTCTGACAAGAACTGAAAATCACTGGAACAGGATTCAGATAAGGATACAGTTGAGAGCAAGGGAAGAAAGAACATTTGTCATCAGGAAAGAGTTCCCTGTCTGATTTATCCTGAAACAAAGTCTTCTATATTCATCATAAAGGCTGAAATTTCTTTCTTTCAGAGTAGGGCTATAGAAGTCATTAAAATGTATAGAACTGTTGAATCAATTGCGTTTTACACCTGAAACTAATATAATCTTCTATTTTAATTATACTTCAATAATTTAAAAAATTGAGATTTTCAAATAACCTTCTGCAAAACCACTGAGGTTCCTTAGGGGGTTTCTTTCTTTTTTTTTTTTTTTATTAAAGATTTTATTTATTTATTTGACAGAGCACAAGTAGGCAGAGCAGGAGGGAGAAGCAGGCTGTCTGCTGAGCTGGGAGCCCAACGTGGGGCTCGATCCCAGGACCCCAGGATCATGACCTGAGCTGAAGGCAGCCGCTTAACCCGCTGAGCCACCCACGCGCCTCACCTTAGGGGGTCTCTAACACATTCCTGGCAGGGGCTGGGCTCTTACCGCCAACTCCACTTCAACCCCAGTAGTGCTACCTGGAATTTTTTTAGGTTTTTGAGTTTTGTTTCTTTTTTAAGGAAAAGGGTCATACTGATAGAGTTTGAAGCATTCTCATGATTTTCTAATGGTTTCTATTTTACTAGATGAGGAAAGAGATCAAAAAGCCGTGACATGCCTATAGCATAGGGCCAGTAAGTGGCAGAAATGGGACTAGAAGTCTTCAATGGGACTGAAACACTTTGACCTCCATCCCTTTACTGATGCCACCTTCCCCCAAAAAAATTACACACCCGTGTTTAGGACAGAGAATTCCTGGGCCATATTGTTGGCAAAGATTCTATCTTAATTGTGTTCTAGCATAAACAGTAGCAGAAGAGAATCAAGTGCATCCTTTGACACGTGTGTCTTTCCAATGGCAACTTGCACACTTTCCTCTTCACAAAAGGGTAATTTTCCAACCTTTCCCTCCTGCCTCCCTTTCAGATCACCTGTTGACATGCCTGGAGAAGCTAGGATTCCTCAGGGGCCCAGTCCCTCCCAGGCTTTATGACATCTCTTTATGTTCAGAGGCCAGTATGTGTAGAGCTGTGATCAGGTGCTTTTGTCATCTCTCCCAGGCCACAAGTCTGACACCCATCGCTCAGGGGGCAGAGAGCGGGGGCGGTCGAAAGAGCGAAAGCATCTTCTCTCTCCCGATGTCTCCCGCTGCAATTCAGAGGAGCGAGGGACCCAGGCCGACTGGGAGTCCCCGGAGCGCCAGCAGTCCAGGTCTCCCAGTGAGGGCCGGTCACAGACCCCCAACAGACAGGTGAGCCTGGAGAGGAAGTGGAACCCCTGTAGAAAGAGACAGAGGGGTGGGCTGCTAACGTTAGGTGCAAAATGTGGGCATCCAGTACCCACACGCACCTTGGTGTCACAGCAACTATACCCATTGTGCGTAGAAGTTGGCTACCTCCTGCTTGTGTACTCAGAAAACCAGATAGTTCCCCCAAGAAAGACAATGGTATCTAGAAGTCATTCCATCTCAGTCCTCAGAACCGAGAGGTACAAAGTCACAAGTAAGTTCATGGAAGTCTCAGCCAGATTTAGGAGGAAAGGATCACCTCTAGCCAGAAAAGTTTCTTTGACCAGTTGCGTGATCCTTAGTATTAGTTACAGTGGTGATCCATCTCTCAGCACAGGATTTATCATTTGGATCAGTTCAACCTCACTTACCTAGCTTCCAGCCATCCCAAAAAGAAGACCCCCCTTCTCCTTCCAGCCCCTGCCTAAGAAATCACTCCCCAAGCTGTGTGAAAACATTCTCTCGACTCCCGCTTTCCTCCTCACTCCCAGCCCGAACTCTGTTTAAGGCTGTGAGAGCCCAGATGGGAGACCCCCTCAGCAGCAGTGAGCAGAGGGGAAGGGGAGGGTCTGCTACAGTAGACTTTAGAGGCAGTTGAGAAGTTTCTTCTAGAGCAGTGGCTTTCAAATTTTAGTGAACAGAATCATGAAAGCTTGTTAGAACTGCATATTCCAGGGACCTAGAGGGCTCTGCTTCAGTAGTGAGACCAGCTAGAAAGGGAAAAGCAGAAAGTTGAAAGGATCCCTACTTCCCCAGGAACTTCTGAGCAGGTGGTTCATGGGTCACACACACCTTCGAGAAACACCTTCCGGAAGGTTCGTTTACCAGCGCTGGGCTCAGGGACCCTTGGGTCTAGGTGAGCAGATCAAGTAAGGCCTGAAGCAGCAGCTGAGCATGTGGGTGTAGAAGCTGAGTTAACCTCAACCAGCCACTGAAGACATGAAGGCAGAGTGAAGATGAGGGAAGGAAGTTGCCATTCCCTCAGATCCACTTCCCAGGAAAGGTTTCCCAGACAGCAACCCCTTAGCATCCATTCATCTTGCATGTAGCTGTCTTCCTCTGAGGTTGCAAGGCTTTCTTTCACTGTGCCCCTTGTTACATTTTTTGAGCTTCCAGATCCTTGCTCCTCTAAGTGTATGCTCCATGGTCCAGCCACACCTGGGAGCGTGTTAGAAATGCAGAGTCTCAGACCCCACCCCAGACCTGCTGAGCCTGCAGCTGCAGTTTACGTTGACAGGCCCTGGTCTCCACGGTGGAGACTCTTCTGTCTCCTTCAGTCCCTCCCTTCCTAAGCGGAGGGGACCCCCAGCTCAGACCTCCCTCCCCCAGGCTCCAAGGGCTCTCTGGAGGGAGGGTTGGGGACCTTACCCGGGCCCCAAGTAGGGATCAGGCCAGGCGCGGTCTAACCTGCCTTGTCTGTCCCGCTGCGCAGGGCACAGGTTCCCTGAGTGAAAGCTCCATCCCCTCCATCTCTGACACCAGCACCCCAAGACGAAGTCGCCGGCAGCTCCCACCTGTTCCCCCAAAGCCACGGCCCCTCCTTTCCTACAGCTCCCTGCTGCGCCACACCGGGAGCATCTCCCCACCGGCTGACGGAAGAGAGGGCGGCTCCCCGCTCACCTCCCAGGCACTGGAGAGCACGGAGGCCGGCCTGGTGGAGGCTCCCAGCTCCCGGCTCGGCAAGCAGGGCCAACACTGCTCCCCCCAGCGCTACATCTCCGAGCCCTACCTGGCCCTGCACGAAGACTCCCACGCCTCGGACTGTGGCGAGGAGGAGACGCTCACCTTCGAAGCCGCCGTGGCCACCAGCCTGGGCCGCTCCAATACCATTGGCTCGGCGCCGCCTCTGAGGCATGGCTGGCAGATGCCCAACGGGCACTATCGGCGGCGGCGGCGCGGGGGGCCTGGGCCCGGCGTCATGTGTGGGGCTGTCGGCGACCTCCTGAGTGACACGGAAGAAGACGACAAGTGCTAGAGGCTGCTCCCCCCTCCGATGCATGCTCTTCTCTCCACCGAGTTGGGAAGCCAGTGCTGCCCGGGGGGGAGGAAGAGGGAGGAGGAAGATGGGAGGACACCGTGCATCATCAGACGAGAGGAACGAAGGGACACCAGGAAAACCAGGGGCACCTGCCCCATTGCTTTACTTCCCTTTGCAAGATGGGCCCTGCCCACGGGCTGCCTCTTTGCTGGGGACAGGAAATTCGAGAAGGCACAGGGGGCTTCCCATGGCAGGAGGGACGTGAGGATGGCTTTGCTTCCCCTTGCCCCTTCCCCCTTTGCTGTCAGCTCAGCTGCGGAGGGATGGAGCTGGCCTGTGTCTACACCCCTTGCCCTGAAAAGCCTGGAAGACTTTCTGGCTCTTCACTAGGGAGTTGTGGAGACCCCAGCCGAGGGGTCCCCTCCCTCAGCAGCTCTTTTTCCCCAGCCAGCGCCCCTGCCAGGGAGGGCAACCACAGGAGCATCTCCTGCACACTCCCCTCCGGCTCGCTTCCCCCAGAGAAGTGCAGGCTAAGTGCGGGAGTGTTGGATGCCAGGGGTCGGAGGCCAAAAGGGAAAAGTTGAAGTGGCAGAAGGGGTCATAGTGCTGTGGCAGCAGCAGCGAGGGCTGGTCTGGGTGAGCAAAGCCATAGTCCGGCAGCCCGGAACCCGGGGGAGAGGCTCAAAGAGAGGGAGGGAATGGGGGGTGCAGGGAGGGACAGTCCCGTCTCTTTGAAGCCTGTCACCTCCTCAGTAGGTGCTGGGTTAGGATAGGCCAGGGACAGCCCTCAAGCTCCACCGAGGCTCTAGGAAGGGTATATTTGGAAAGCATTTACCAACCCCTGTGGCCAGAGCACCAGCCGGTGTGAGCAGAAGTCCAGCCAGGACCCTGCAGGCCTTAGCCCTGCAAATGCTGGTCCTAAGGGATCCCTGAGGGTGGGGTGAGTACGGTGAGGGGCACTTAAGGCAGAGTCTGTTTTCCATCCAGTAGAGAAGAATCTGGAACCAGCACATTGGGCTGAATGTCAAGGTAGACTCTGGGCCAGGAGGCAGTGGGCCTTTCTGCCAAGCAGCGAGGCCCCGAGCCAGAGGCCCAGGCTTCCCTGCCACTCCCTGAGATGGTAGTGCACACATACCCAAGGTGGGCCCTCCATCACCGGGTAGAGACTTCTAGAGCGAGAGGAAAGGCGGCCAGACCAAAATGTGAAACTTTCATGAGAGAGTCAGGCTGAGTTCACTGAGGACCTACTGGGAGGAGGACCCCTTCCGCAGCTAGTTGGTGAAGTGAGGGTCAGTTTGTCCTGACACTTTGAAGGTGATTAGTAAATATACCTCAGCTGAGACCTGGGCTGCTCCTCCTAGCCACGGAGACTCTGATGCGACCTCATCACACAGTGTCATGAGATGGGGGTTCCCCATGGCCCTGCGTATTCCCTGGGGCCGGGACGAGGCTTTTTCTCTCCCCAGGGTAAGAGCTGGGCAGAAGACGGCCTCAGGCCACTGTGTCATTCTTAACCACCAACCCCCCAAACTCAGAAGCATGGAGAAAGAGAGAGACTTCCTCGACTAATCAGTCCTCGCCTTGTATCGATTGTCCACTCGGGGAAGCACATCACTCCCTCTATTTGGTGGAAATGTCCCATCCCCTCAACTTCCTCCCCTGTCTCCTCCCAGGGGCTGGAAGGGTCTGCTGGAGAAGGGTGCCAGGCAGGCCTTCCCTTCACAGCCACGAGCAGGCCGAGCTGGCCTCACAGGCCCCACCCCTGGCCCGAGATCCCTGTGGCTGAACCCTCTCTCCATCCTCCTCCAGCCAAGCCAGCCTCCACCTCTTGGGGAGGAGAAGTGAGGGGCTGTTATTTTTCTTAGAAGGAGCCTCTTTTGACTTCTGAAGTTTTTTGTTTGTTTTGGTTGAAATAGAACTAAGGCATAGTTGCATCTACCCTGAAAAGCCAAATACAACCATGGGGCTGCAGAATCATTGCTTATGGCCCCGCCTTCACTTTTAGATACTGATGGAGCTTCATGACCCCCAGGCAGCCCCCACATCAAAGTAGGCCCAGGGCAGGAGACCACGGAGGCAGAACAGAAGCCGCCTCCTCCCTGACCTAATGTCCATTTTCACTGCACTCTCCTGCTCACCACTTGCGTGCTCGGGAGTAGCTGCCCATGTGAACGCGACTATGTCACACCCTGATCTGAACAGGCGTGCCCCCCTTTACGGAAGACTCAGATGCTGGGCCTTGTAGTGTTTGAAAAGTTTCCTCTGCCCTGTGTCATTTCATGCCAAAGTGCTGCAGTGGGCTGTTTTCTGTGCACAAATTTGCATTCTTCCCCCTCAGAAATGCAGCTTTGCCTAGGGACAGGCCTACCCCAGGACAGCCACTCTGAGTCAGCAAGCCTCTTGCACTGTGGTGTGAGAACAGGAATTGATCTCTTCTGCCATCTCAACAGGAGGAATTTAGCCTGGCAGAGCAATTACCAGAAATGGGATTTGCCTGTAAACCACATTATGAACACTAAATTTACTGTGCCAGGAACCCTCCCTGGACACCTGAACTCCTTAAACTCACATACACACACAAGCACCGGAGTCTCGAATGCAGTGGTATCGAGCCCTGCAGAGGCAGTCCCCTGACCAACCACTGGGGTTTTTCTAGAACCAGTGAACTTAGGAACGCTCTTATTCAGTTTCCCCTGACCAAGAAATTGGGTTTCTTACCCCTGAGCCTGCATTTACCGTTCTAGTAAGACCAGAAAATAAAAGACAGTTTTCTGTTAAGTCACGGAACTCATAATCTTCTGTTTCCTTCCACCTCTTAATAAATGTGACCTTCCCCCGTCCCTCTAATAGCTGACCAGGCTCCCTTCCCACGTGTCAGATTCTGTCTCTTCTCTCTCCCTTGAAAAGGTCCTTGAGATCTCAAAACCTGTGCTGCTCTTCTTTGGATGAAAAAGTATGGCAGCATCTCGAGAAATGCCAAGCAAACGAAACTGTTGGAGCTAACACCGAATGATCAAACGGAGTCCTGCAGGTCCCCTCAGAAGAACATTTATCTCTATGTCCAGTTTCCATTGCTATTGTTAGTCTTCGGCATCTCCTCAAAACAAAGAGGGAGGGATGGAGGAAAAGAGTAGAGGAGGAAAAGAAATCAAGGTAGAGAGATATTCTAACTAGGTCTGTGTTTAGATGCTCCTCTCTTCACTTCCAGACTTCTGGTGGGGAAATTCACGTGTCTCCCTCTCTCAATCCCCATGAGGGCAGAATGCCAGCAGGCTTTCAGACACAGGGGTAGAGCTCTAGGCCAAGATGCTCTGTGAGCCAGGGTCTGGATAGAATTACCTACATTATGAAGAGATGGTACCTTCGAGCATCTCCCCCACCCCACCCCCAGGGTTGACTTACATAAGCCATGAATACGACCGCCCAATGTGGGTCTGTCCACTCCTCTAGCTGAAGAATCTGTTTCTATTCTGGGCTTCACTTCTCCCCACTCAATGTCCCTATGGGGTACTGAAATCATGGATAATGTTTCTCTGAAACTGAAATTCAGATGTTCTGGATTAGACCACCTTTTGACTCTGGGACCACACAGAGACAACCCCGTATTCCACCACTCAGCCAACGTCGTCTTTCTACACACGTCCATCTCTCCCCTGGCCTTTGTGATAGCCTCAGTATCTCCTGCCTTCTGTTCCCCCATCCCCGCTCTTGTTTTGCTGCATGTTATCACTGACTTAACTCCTGAAATGTTTTAAATCCACCCAGTCCAAGCTTATTTGCTGACCTGCCTGTTTCTGCTGTTGGGGAATGCATCATTCTCATAAAAATAGTTGGGAACTCACCAGGTAATATTCACAAGGTGATCTGAACCAGTATAAGGTGCAGTACTATTGGGGTGAGTGGGGGATATGAAATGTCCACATATTCAATGAAAGTCCACTTGAGGGAAATTAGGTCTCTCTTGGCATAATGGAACAAAATTTAATAATTTTGGTTTTTTAAAGAAAGTTCTCAATTTTCCATTACATCCTATTTCTAAAGCCTGCTCTGGATGTTTCATTTTTGGACAGAGTATTTGTTCAGTGGGTTGAGCCAGGGATAAGCTGAGATTCTTTAATTTCTCAGCCCAGCTGTAATAAATATGAGGTCATAATAAGAAAAGGCATATGTATAGCAGGCGGGAAGCAGATGGTCATCTGCTTTGCTGGGATTTTGTGAGACTTGAAGGTTAAGGAATTTTCACCCTATTTTTATCAGTTTCATGTTTGTTATGTTTTGAGACCCTCAGAGACCTGGTGCCAGTGTGCACAAAGAATCTTGGGGAGGAGAGGCATTCCCATGCCTTGGGGTAGCCTCTTCCTCACCAGATTCTTCCATCCTGTCCGTCCGTCCTTCCTGGATTCCCAGGCACTGAACACTGTCCAAGAGGTGCAGGTGAGGAGTAAGGCAAAAAAAAAAAAAAAAAAAGTGGGCCTCCTGCCCGTGGCCAGAGCATGATGGTTTAATTCCAGGCAAGAGCCTCCTGAGGAATCAGGTCTAGGTTTGGATAAAGAGATCTCCACACTGAGGCTCCACACAGAGGTAGCTCAGGACTTAGGACCTAAATTGGCATGATATGATCAGAAGAGATGCCACGTTAACGAGCGCTGCCTTTATCTGTAGCTCTTTCTGACTTTTGTTTTTTCTTTGGTGAACTACCCTGTATACTGTAGCCGTTTACCCTGACAGAGCCCCAGCTGATGGCTTTGCTGGTTGCAGCCCCAGACTTAGCTGAAGACTGCTGGGGTGATCTGCCAGTCATCATGTGCCGTCACTCAGAAGGACACAGATGTACCATTTTGGGCGGGGGGAGACTAGGAACAGAAAAAACTGTCTTTGGTTTCTGATGCCTGTCTTTTTCTTCCCTTAAATCCTTTCTGCTTTGACCCTCTGAGGCTTAGGCATCCCAGAGAAATCACGTCAAGCCAAAGATAACAGATTCATAGATTGTCCCAACC